CCTTTTCCCTGTCCCTACTCCCTTCCCCCTTCCTTTTCCCTGTCCCTACTCCCTTTTCCCTCCCCCATCCCTGCCCATCCCTTCCTTCCTCCACCCCCATTTATTTCTGCCCCCCTCCTCCCCCCCTTCTTTCAACTTAGAATACAGTAAAATAATCTTTGTGTAGCACTTCAATATATGAGAATTTGAATCTATATAACTGTTCTAAGAAGAAACTTGTGAGGTTATTATAGGACAAAATATAATAATAAATTGGCTGACTACATTAGACTTACAATAAATATGATAGGCATGAATTCCATTCAGATTCCGGTGGAATCCATTGGAATTCCATTCAGAATCCGGCAGAATCCACTGGAATTCCATTCAGAATCCGGCGGAATCCACTGGAATTTGAGATTCCTACCATTCCGGCAGACTCCGGATGGAATTCCGACATTCTATGGGAGTCCGCTGGAGTCCGCCGGAACTCATGGGGGAGGGTAAAGTACTGCCCACAGCGCCCTTCGCCTTTCCATCCAAATGTCCACCAGCAGACTGTGCCTGCTGAAACACCTCCATCCTTTCAACAAATGGTGGTGGTCACTCATATGTCTAAACCTTGAGATTCCAGTGGCCTTACGCCATACTGGTAATGCTCTAAAACTTCAGGAGCATTATACTTGCTACCTTGCTCTTCTTGAGGCTGAGAAGAAATTCAAGAAGATGCAGAAGGATGGGACTTGGCTGGCTGGACTTAGACTGCCTGTCAGTGGAGAGATTCTGAACCTCTTCATTGGAAAATCGACTTGGACCAAGACTTTTCCTCATATAGCAGAGTATCCAGAAATGGTAAAGTGGTTGAGTGATGAAGAGGACTGTATGGAGACAGAAGAGTTGTTTGGGGTGAAGTTGAAGGCATATCACTTTGCAGAGCTTCTTGCATGGGTGCAGAATGGAGGATCATTGGTTAAGCCGAAGAAAGGAGCAGCAAAGGATGCATCTGCAGCAACTTCTAGCACATCCAAGAAATTGTCTACATCAAAGAAGCCTGCTGGATCTGCTAAGAAGGTGGCCACTTCCAAGAGTGGAACTTCCAAGTGCAAATAGTAAGTATGCTAACCTTGACAGGTCTTATCTTTGTACTACCATCTGTGTATTTCTCATGACTTTCATTTGTACAGTAGTTTGAATCTTTTTGGTCTTTTGGGTGCACTGGTTCTTTGCTATTATCTGGATGGTCTTGCTGGCAACTTGAGCTTTTCAAATTTATGCACATGCATCTACTGGTTCTAGTATTAGTACAAAAACAAATCTACTGGTTGTATATATCCTAATGAACCCTTCTCAAGCACAAATTATGTCCTAGTTCTTTTATAAACTCCACAGAAGCTGAACAAGCAGGAAATGAGATTCACTTGTTTATATTTGCAGTTGCTATTCAACGGCTACACTTTCCTTTTCCTTTCCCCCTCATTTGAATAATCACCCATGGGAAGAAGGTCCCACAGCACCACTGGTATTACCCACTTCAACTGGCTTGTTATAAAAAATGGAAGGAGGTATTTTCCCTCCTCCACTGTATCCTCCCTGCCCTCTTCTCCTGTACAAAAGCAGAACTGCAGCCACCTGGAAAGAGACAATGAAACCGGAAATGAAGATTTTGGTATACATTGAATACACTCCTCCTCTTGACAATCCACCTCACAGAAATGTAAAATTTCACATTCAATATGTCCATATACTAAGAGCTAATTAACTTTGTTCAGTCATCCAATGATTATATGAGGGTCTGGAAACAGACAAAACACAATCTATACCTCCATGAGCTTTTGGAGAGGAAGGCTTCAATCTGCATTTGTGCCATTTGCAAAAAGGAGGCAACTTGGTGATGTCTGGATTGCTTTGCTGGCCCCGCGTATTGTACAGACTGCTGCTGGACATCCCACTGCTGAGACCCATTCCACTGGATTGAATGATGGACCAGCATCTTTTACGAACAGAGCTGGCTCTGGAAAGTAGGATTGGTTATCAACCTAGGTCACCAAGGTGAATGGTGCCCTCAATCAGCCAGAAACTTGGATGCTGATATTGACATTGAAGAAGACAGATGGTTTGATCTTGAAGACCTTCCTAGCACTTCGGCCAATCCAAAGCCACCAGATAGGGTTTACAATTAGTGTTCGCAAGTTCAGTTCAGTCCGGTTTTTTGCCCCGAAAACGCGCAACCGTGGACCGCAACCGGTCTAGGACCGACCCAAATATTGAGGGAACCGAACCGAACCACCTACGACCGGTCTATTTCGGTCTATGGAGCCGGTTCAGACCGATCCAGACCGGTTTTTTTGCGTATAATTTATTATACCAATATAAACCATTTGTATCTTGACTATTATTACTCTAAAAAATAAATGGGTTATATGAAATAGTAAAGCATGTAAATACCCGTCATTCTACCAATTTTGAAGAGATTTAATGAATATTTGACATAGCTATGACTGAAACCGAATTATATCTCATAGAGACTCGGGTAAAATATGGATTTGGTTATATCTTTCTCAATTCTTAACCGTTTTTGATGAAACAAAAACCCAATAAAAGGTAATAAACGTGGTTACAAGGGTATGTAACGCACGTGACCGTTTAACCGGTTGCAACCGATCAAAACCGGTCTTTGAACGGTTTTAATATATTTTCGAAATGAGGCAACCGGCAACCGGACCAACCCCAAATTGGGGCAACTGCAACCGAAAAAAAGACCGGACCATGGTCCGGTTCAGTTCGGTCCACCGGTTTTTTGCGGTCCTATGGACTGAACCTTTAAACACTATTTACAATGGTGGCCAGGTCATGACCATTGTCCATACTTTGGGTGTGCAACACCTGCCAGTCGTCTTCTGTGGATGTTCAGGGGCAGCAGCTGAGTACATACAGTTGTTTTGTGTTGGGTTGTACCCATCCACCTACAAGTCTTGCCAGACCATATTTACCTTTCAACTCCTCGATGACTACCTGCTGGAAAATCTCGAGTGCAAAACCTCGGCCACCCACTACTACTCCAAATTAAGAAGAATCACCAACTTTGCATTTCCGAATTCCATTCTGGTATGTTGTTCAAGTAAGGAGCTATAATCCCAGCTCAAATATTTGACTGGTATCATGAGTTGATCAGGGTTGGTAGACAATACCGTAATCTTACTGAACTGGCTACATTTGGATTTGGACACAAAGGTAAGGTCTCCAAGACTGGGGGAGATGGTCTTTTTTTGCCTGACCTGCTCACAGCCTGGAGTCAATCTACCTGATGACTGGAATGAAAATCCCCAAGATCCAGAGAATTGGAAGTATACCTGAGGATTTGTAGCTGAGGGCAATTTCACAGCAGCACACCAGAAACAGGCACGACCCGAGGACAATGTTTGGCTGAAAGATGGCCATGGTTTCATGACCCGAAGAGGTCCCTACTTGAGCCACCTTCAGGATGTGATTGAAGATAATGATGTCAGTTTTATCCTTCGAGGTCAAATAGATGGAGAGATATTGGAGACTTTGTGGGCTGTTCTCAATGAGGTCGGTCACACCACCCGGACAATGACTTTGGCCCATAGATTGGAGGTATTGGATGCTCACATGCTGGATAACAACTAGAAAAAAATGATCGATATGGGTATCTATGTTCAACTGCTTTTACATTGCTGTTAAGCTAATAAAAGTCAAGTGGGTAGCCTTTGCAAGAAGTGGAAGCGAGCGAAACTCAGGCTCTCTGAGAGCTTCCAGGCTCTTGAAGAATTAAGTGCCTTGGCAAGTATGGAACAGATTCAAGAATGGGAGCAACAGATCAAATTGGCAAATTTGAACTGGGCAAAGGACCTTTCCACCATGGACATCTCTTACGTCAAGGTCAAGGAAGGTAAGAACCAAGTTTTCCCTTACAAAGGCCAGCTGTAAAATCATTCAATCAGCCAAGACTGAAAAGGGCATTTGGCTAAAACTTATGACTAAAGAACAGGAAGGCAAGGTCAAGCCGGGATTAAGTGGATGGGTAAACAGCAGTATCAAAATTCAGGAAGCCCAGTGAGTAAAGTCAGATATTGCTAGATTCAAACATTGAACAATCAAGAGCCGAATTGGCCACCTTTGTTAAGGCTCAAGGCAGTCATCCAAGTGCTGATCAGAAGCTAGAGATATTGAAACATTGAGAAAAGCTGTCCAATGATATGGAGTGTAAGAATACACCTGTAAAATTGTGAATTTACGCATTTTCTCTAATAAAACCTACTATAAGTAAATACAATTGCTTTGATCACAAGGATCATTAGATACAGCCCAATCTAGTCAATTAACATCTTCATCCAAGACATGTGCGCATCTTAAGGCAGTAGGAATTGCGGTCGGCATGTGATCAGGCCACTTCAATATACTCGAAGCCTATTAAAAAGACTACACTACCATGAAATAGTTTGCTATAAAGGTGTTCTAGAGTAAACACACCTCAGCACAGGGTGTTGGAGCTTACACCAAACCAGGGTTTATTTCTAACATGGATTAAACAATGTAATTTGATGAGCAATGTGCAAGCATATAACCCGATGCGTTCCCGATGCAAGAAGCCAACTAGTCACGTGCTATGAAGCATGATCAAAGAAGTCATGTGGTGATACACATCACGCACATCAATGCATCGCGCATCATGGCATCATTGAACCAGGAGTGTTCAGCCTCGAAGAATATTCCAGAGCCTCCTCCCAAGAGATAAAATATGAATGATTTGCTGTGTGGTCCGAGACCCATACATAGTATCTAATAATGGAGAGAAAATCACTAAGCGGACTGTTTGCCTCGGCTGAACTGATCGTGAAAACTGTTTACAGCGATTCCTGCGTATGCATCAATACTAATGTGTCACGTTGCCACAATAGAGCAAACACTAGAAGTCAGCTCAGTTGTGCCACACACAACTGAGCCACTTCAAACCTTTACTAAGAACCAATATTAATTTGTCCGACCTCTCGGACGATGCACAGATGTGTAAATATAAATAGAAAACATAGAATAGTATAAAAAGAGGATGCGCGCAGGCTGAAACGAAAGGAATTATCCCCCGCATTGACCAGCTGTCGCACTCCCAGTAGCACCTGAGGTAGTGGATAAGTGTGTAATCAATTAAAGGACATTTTCTTCACAGACATAAGTAACGTGTGCCCAGAACCAGCATGTTAAGTGGGGATCAGTAAGCTTTTGTAATGTTGTCTTGTCAATTAGTAAGAGAGCTCTCTACTATTACCGAGGAATCCAAGTGAGCATGCTTGAAGAGTCTTTAAGACTAGTTTGGATTGAATCAGAGGCATAATAAAAGCTCAAGGGAGTTATAAAAGTCTACAAAGCACAATTTCCTTGTCATTTCTCTTTATACAGTTAGAACACAATCCCAGAACACTGAGGTAGTCCCAATAAAAGCCTTTTTCCCTCGAAGACTATTGAGTTTCGAATTCTATACTTGTGCTCACACATAAAAACAATACCATTTGTTCCAAAAGGCCTACTAGAATTAGACAAGTGATATAAAATATGCAAAATTGTTTCCCCGAACTTTTACCTAAGTTCTAACAAAAAAAGTGTGGTAATTCTATTTACCGTACGAACCCAAACTCGAAGCACCAAGCACATACCTGTGGTGATAAGTGTTTAAGGTGTTAGTGTGTGTGTGTGTGTGTGTTGTTTAGGTGTTCATGCATCTTGTTAGTGCATCAGATTGCACTTTCCACACTCCTGTGTGTCACGGTCTTCTCATCGTCCAGGCAGGTCTTGTGCTGATTCTCATCTTATCTCAGCACAAGGCTCTTCTAAGAATCACTGGCCCATGGGCAAAATGATAACTCCCGCCTTGAGAAAGCGTCTTATCCAAGAGCTCAGTATTAATGCTACCTTCACAAACTGTTCTGCACCAGGCCTTCGATTTGCTTGGGGTCGGTATCAGGAATGTACAGCCGCTATCGCCAAGGCTCGAGAAATGCTCAGTACTGGGAACTGGCCTGCAGACCTTCCTCCTTTCAGGGAGTTTATTGTTATAGAGTACTAAATGAATTTGGGGTGTTCGAGACCAGACAAAATCTATAATGGAGGATCTGAAGACTTGGGTGGAAAGAGGTGGAACATTGAAAGCACGGCGAACATCTAGTCCTGAAGAAGAACACACAGGGAAAGGAAAGAAGAAGGCTCAGAAGTCTCACAAGAAGTTGTTGAAGTAATAGCTTTTTTTCTCTTTTTTTTTTGTTGAAGTCACTAATCATTTTCTGATCTATTGTACTTGTAGCTTGGTTTCAGTTGTTCTGAACTTTTTTGACAAATTTATTTTTATGATAAATTTTGTAGAAAACATAAATCCAGAAGTTAAAAGTTTGAATGGTCAGAAATTTTCGAAGTTTTGTTTTGAAACTAGGACCCCAGATACTCCATGACACTGGCAGGAAATTTCTTGCCTATGTGATATGGCTAAAAGATTTTCGAGCAGTGTGACATGGTCAAAAGATTTTTCAGCAGTGTGAAGTGTGACATGACTAAAACATTTTTCAGCAGTGTCATATAGCTAAAACATTAACATTGTAATCAAAAAAGCGGACACTACAAAAATCTTTGTAATGACAAAGGCAAAGACTACAAATATTTGTTGTCCAAAAAGCGGACACTACAAACTTTTGTAATGAAAAAAGCGCACACTAGTAACTTTTGTAGTGAAAAAGCGGACAGTGCAAACCAAACTGATATTATGTAATGACTTTCCCAATTAGGAAATATGCGAACATTGTCATAAACAATGACAACACTAAGCTAGCCACTAACTCCAGTGGCCCAAAGAGCGTGGGAAACAGTTCTCAAGCGAAATGTGCACTGTGCCTGACATTAGGTGTGGCAGAAAAAAGTGTAACGCTTTTCCTAATTAGGAAATGGCCCAATTGGGAAATAATGCGGACATTGTCCTGAACAGTGACAACACCAAGTTAGCCACTACTATGTTTGTTCAGGAGTTTGAAACCCATCAGGAGTTTGAAACTGCACATTATCTTGCCTTCCGCTTACCTTAGGATCTTGTAAATTTCAGGGAAGATGTATTTATGCATGAGATTTACTATTCCAAAATTTCAGAGGGAGATTCGAAGATTTGTGCTCTGGAGGCATGACTTTGTGCTTTTCATTACACCAACCAAACAAAAGTATTGGAATGTTTTCTCAGATCCCTTTGGATCGGCTAGACTGTTTATTCTGAAACTTTCCAAGTACATTTAAATTGTATTTGAAAGTCTACCTACAAATTTCTAGAGGGGGAGATGAAGTGCTCTCGGGAGGAAGGGCAAAATACCAAATTTTGCTCGCAAAACAGCTCGAAAAACGTGACATTTGCGTGACATTCGCACATCATCCATCAGCCAAATTCCTTGTTACCTAGTGTGACACGAGTTTCAATCTCCTGATATATCTGAACCCTGAGCACCGGAACGCCTCCGACAGCGAACACAACACATTTATACCAAAAAAAAGTAGATATTCATATAGAAGAAAAAAAAGATTATTGGCTTGTTAAAAATTTAAAGAATTCAATGAAGTGGTGAGGCAGAAATCGCACAGCGGTGAAAAAGTTTCAAACACCTGAACAAACATAGTAACTCCAGTGGCCCAAAGAGCGTGGGAAATAGTTCCTGACCTAAATGCGCAGTGTGCCTGACATTAGATATGGCAGAAAAAAGTGTAACGCTTTTCCCAATTAGGAAATGGCCCAATTAGGAAATAGTGCGGACATCGTCATTAACAGTGACAACACTTAGCTAGCCACTAACTCCAGTGGTCCAAAGAGCGTGGGAAACAGTTCCCAACCCAACTGCACACTGTGCCTGACATTAGGTGTGGCAGAAAAAAGTGTAACGCTTTTCCCAATTAGGAAATGGCCCAATTAGGAAATCATCAAAGCGGACACTACAAAATTTTAGCATCACTTTGGTCAAAGCTATTGGTAAATATATGTAAACAAACTTCGAAATGAGGGTTTTCTGACTTCCTCTGCTTGAATAAAAATAGATTATGGTTCCTGATACCATGGTATGGTATGAGGGTGCATGGTATGGTGTGGTATGGTGTGGTATGGTGCATGGTATGGTATGAGGGTGCATGGTATGGTATGAGGGTGCATGGTATGGTATGAGGGTGCATGGTATGGTATGGGGGTGCAATACCATGGTATGGTATGAGAGGGTGCATGGTATGGTATGAGGGTGCATGGTATGGTATGAGGGTGCATGGTATGGCATGAGGGTGCAATACCATGGTATGGTATGGTATGGTATGAGAATGCAACATGGGATTACAACACCATTATGATATTTTGATAATGAAGACTCTTAGGACAACAAGACTTGATTCCATTTCCAATTAACAAGACTTTGGATTGGACAGATTCACTCAGCTTCAATAAATTGGACCAAATATTATGACAAAGAACCAAACACTCAGGACAACAATACCTGATTCCATCATATGTAGTTTTTAAGAAAATTGAGATTATATGGTGTTGTTGGCCATACTATATGTACATGCTATGTAAGTAGGTAGGACTGCCTGATTGGCCCTACTGGGCAAAATATATTTTGCCTATTATTGGGAGGATTCATATTAATGGCTTTTTAGAAATGAAAAAACCCTCAATTGAACCGATTTCCAAAGGTTGGAGTTGACTATCTAGCCTCCACTTGGAGTTGGAAATCTTAGAAAAAACCTGAAGAACCTTTCCACTTTTCTTTGCTTCTCAATGACCACTTCATCCCAATAGATGTGGTATTGTTTGATTTGGATGAATATTTGTTGAAATCAAAAGGACTGGGAAAGATATGTATCATTAAATGGCTTTGGATGCATGAGAAAGCTGGGATAAAGCCTATTTAAATTCATTTTCAATAGATGGTTTGGACTATCTAGCCTCAATTTGTAGCTCAATATCTCAAGAAAAACATGGAGAACCACCCCACAAAAATGGTACCCAATGAACCAGTATTGCAGCCTGCAGAATTTATTTATTTATTTTGGAAAAGGACCCCAGACACCCAGTGACAGCTTTGGTATGATGGTATCATACCATCTGGTATGGTATAACATGACATGGTATGGTATGGTACCTTGGTATTGGTATGAGTGGGATATGGTATGAGTTTTCCATTCCATGGTACCATGGTATTGGTATGGTGCTCACATACCACTCTGGAATGGGTACCATTGAGGTACCCTTAAATCCAAGAATTCATATACCTGAGAGGTACCCTAAAATGGGTGACTGAAGTGGTAACCGCATATAACATGACATGGTATGGTATGGTACCTTGGTATTGGTATGAGTGGGATATGGTATGAGTTTTCCATTCCATGGTACCATGGTATTGGTATGGTGCTCACATACCACTCTGGAATGGGCACCATTGAGGTACCCTTAAATCCAAGAATTCATATACCTGAGAGGTACCCTAAAATGGGTGACTGAAGTGTCAATCTTTGGTTCGCCAAGTTTCATTGGTCGATCCCCATCACACAATCACATCTTTACAAGCCACTTCCCATCTCTGCCGGCCCCGACAGTTTCGAAGTTCTTACAGATGAGCAAGTGCAGCTCAAAAAAGATGTCATAAAGCGGATGCAGACTGTAAGTGTTCGTTTTTCATGCCAATGTGTTATCTAACCCACTCCAATAGACGTTATACAACTGGTACGATTATCAAAGCAAGAAAGTCAAAAAGTTACAGATTTCAAAGAAGGCGAATGACGATCCCGTCAGCCTCTTGCTCAAAAGGTTGCTCGGCACCAATGATGGCCCTGGGAAGCGTGCAGCAGGGTGGCAACTGTGGGGGAAGGATAATTTTGACGCCCTGAAGTCCAAATTCAATGCGGAATTCAAGGCTAGTGGCAAGTGTGAAGGCCTTCGTGCCACAGCTTGTAATGAATTTCAAAAGGCCTCTTTCGCTAAGTTAGGCGAAGGGAACAAGGGGAGTGGAACTTGAAGGCTAGCGAAGTGCACGAAGCCGCCAAGAAGAGGGCGAAAGATCGCAAAGTGGAGTTTGAGACGGGCGTGATGAGCCCTGAAGATGCTCAGCAGTGCATTCTCAAGATCTTCAATCACTAATGTTTCTTATTGATTTTTCATCAGCTGTATCAATTCTCTGCCAAGTGTCCTTGGACCGCTTGTTGATGGACTTGGCAAGGCCATCAACATGCATGTGTCAGTCCTGGTTGGTGGTCCTGAACCCAGGCAGATGGGACAACTCAACATGATCAGGTAATGTCAAGTTTTTGCATTGACTCAGTGACTGCCGTTTACTCAACTTATGCATGATCAGTGTCCATCATGGCTTGAACCATTAGCCGACAAGGAGAAGTTCAAGAATGGGCCCGAGAAAGTGTTTCTTGAATTTTTGGAAACTTGTTATTGTCTCGGTGAAGTTACAACCCTCGCATCGTCATTTCACCTTCTCGAGTCATTGGCCCTCATTCAAATCAACTGGCAGTCGGCTCCTTGTGTCCAGGATATTTCCATCATACCGGATATCCTCCACCGCCTCCACGCTCCCCTCCGCTCGCTCATCCTTCATTCAACCTCTATCCGTCCTATAATGGCCTGGCTCATATCACATGACCCCCCACATCCTCTCACCTCTCTCGACATCGACTCAATTCGCATGGAAGATAGATTAATGATCGGCTCTTACTTCAAAGTTCTCGGATGCCGCTTACAAGACCTCAAAGTGGGCTTTGACAGGAACGTCTACTGCGACGCCATCCACAACGAAGCGCCCGACGAATGCCCCGGCCTATCAGGCCTCCTCTCTCTCCGCGTGCGCAGCTTTGAAATCACCAATTTTCTTGACGGAAGTGCTGGCTCGAGTTCAGCTACTGCGGCCCTACAAATGCTCAGGACTGTCAATCCCTCCTTGTTAGAGACCGTTGTTTTCGTAATTAAATCTCTGTCTAGGTCTGGAGAACTAGACGGACATGCTATTCATTGGAAAGGATTGGATATAGCGTTGAATGGGAGCGCGTATGAGGGATTGCGGTGTGTCCGCTTCGAGGTGAAGGGGTCAGTGAATAGGGATGGATTTACCGCGTTGATACGTGCAAGGCTACCGCTGTGTGACGCTCGACGCATTCTCTGCGTCCATTGAGGCGGGGCATTCTGAAGTAAGTAGATATCCCACACAAGCACCTAGATGTTCGCTTGATTACTTCCATCCTACTCTTGTACTCAAGACTCATGCAATCTAATTAGGCTATAGAAATGTTTTCGCTCTCCATTCGCCTTGCTAAATCTTCAAAACCTCCAATTCAAATGCTTACAAAGGTTCCATTATAACTGTCTTTCTTCCCTCCACACGTGTAATTAACCATTGGAATTGGCACGACCATTACTATTGGTGGTTGCGATGTGTATATGGATTAGGATATGCGGATTTCACTTTTTGTGTCATTCACTCGCTCCTGCTCTTTCAAAAAGAATTCACGCATGTTTAGTTAGTATATAAAATACTGCTTGCATAGGTTTGATGGGATTCATGAACTTGAAGCGCACAATATGTCACATTGACTGACATCCCTCAGTGACCTCACGTCGGCAACGTTCCGAGGTTACAACACAACTTCCAAAAATTCTCAAAGTTTTTGAGGGCATGTAAAACTGCGTTTATTAGACTATCGAAAATTTTCTAGGCTGCACGATATGATGTTGAAGTTTAAAATCGACGAAAAGGACAATTATGCGCGTATCCTGCCAGTAAGGTATAGTATGTAGATCTTCACTGCGGCCCTTCGATTACTCGCTCATTGCTTTGGAGATCGGATCTGCAGGGCTACCCTCCCTGGAAGCCATACATATATACATAGACGTCATGGCGTCATTGGTCAGACGCCGCTCTAAGTTGACCCTTCAATTCATTAAGACGGCGACATGCAATTTTAAACTGGCTTGAGAACAATCTTCCGTTTCCGTATTGGGTTTCGATTCACAAATCTCCCCGTGCTAGTTACGTTGAACTATTTGTAAGGGGGTCGCGTTCGGGCTTGACGGGCGGCACCGCATGATAGCTACTCAGAGTTCGACATGAGCCATGGCTAAATTTGAGCGAATGTGAATCTCTAAGCATTGGGCCTCGTTAAAATTCCTTCGCCAAACCAAAAGTCATAATTAATCGGCGGGCTCACCTAAAAAGATTTGTCCGAGGTAAGCGCACCTCTCATTTATTGGCTTGGGAATGTCATCAACTGGATGGGGCTCTACAATTGGCCTGGACCTAGCAGGACACTCAATCTCTAAGATAATCATGGGGAAGGCGCCTGAAGGCGCTCGTCATTTATGGGGGGCGAGATCTCCCACAGAGCGCAGCGGCGGCGTTAAATATCGGGTATGGGGATCTCAACATCTCTCAAGAGACGTGGAGAGATGTCTGCTGTTCAGTAATTTGTGTGAGAAAATTTGGAGAAATTAAGTTGCTCAACACGGATGGCCTCAACGCTACTGTTTTGATTTTCGGCCGGCCATCCACAAGTGCGCCGCAAAGTAGTGGGTATCCTCCATTCTGCTAGAAGCTAGCAAGATGTTGGCAAGATGGCGAATTCAACGTGATAACGCGCAAGGGCATAAAGGCAAGTTGGAACTTGGTTGAAACAAAGTTGGAAGGGCCGGCTTCACAAACTTGTTTACGTTTGTTGTCGAAAACCTTTCAAGTTCATTTTCCGGGTTTTCGACGAGCCACGATGGCGGCCAAAAACAAAGCCAGGTGAGACGGTAGTTCCTCAGAAACGGGTGTACATTGACGTCGCACAGAACGCTAATCGTTCGTATGATTTCAACGGCGCAAACTGGCTTTTTCTACACCACCCAACGTCTTCGACAAGGTCCCAGGTTATCCGCTGTGAAGTACGACCCGAAAGGTATGGTCTCTTCGTCTCTGGTGATATCAATCTAAATGTATTTTCAGTTAAGCAGCGCGTCTTGTTCGTGGAGAGTAAGAAGACAAAAAAGTAGATGCTGATAGGCGGGTAGTAAGTATAGGTGAGTCCATGTTGCGCCCTACTCTTGTCTGCTTCCTCATAGCCCCGCTCTTTCAGTAGCTACTTTAGTGGTGTTTATAACATTTCCTTGTCCACAAGTCGCGTGACTATTGCCAACCTTCTGAGGACGACAAGTTGCTGAAGACGGTTTTTGGCAGAATTCTACCTGCAAATCTGCCTGGCTCAGTCGACGACCATCATGACGGACGGATGATTATGGAATAGAATGGATGTGACGAGGAATCATGCAGGTGAGCACGCGATGGACTACGTCGGAGTTTGGCTTTGGTAGCTTACAGCTCGTCGTGGCGACAGATATCCTCCCTTCTCGACAGTTCGCGCAGCATGTGCCTCTGTTGTTGTCCCAAGTGCCCGTGGTTTGTCTGATCTCGGTTTCCTTTTGGAACCCAACTACATGACCAAGACTTTCGAAACACGCTTATGCTTGGAATTCAATTTCTAAATTATTTCCAACTGTGTGCGAGAGGTGGGAGTTGTGAACGGTTGGAACAAAAATTCCCATATAAGATCTAACTTGACTTCTATGAGCTTAGATGCTCGGAGTCGTCATCCCTTGAAGAGAGCCCAAACTATTCTCGCTCTTCATTGAGGCCAAACGCCCAGAGCGAGTATGATGGACTCAGTCATTCCGGTGCTTTCGCCCTCGCCAAGGGTGATGTATGAAAATGATGGAGAGCAGGGTGAGTGGCGGCGGTACAAGGTCGCCGACTCAAGGTGGGTGATGTTTCCTGTCTCAAGCGGCGGTGCTGGTGCTGTTTTTTTGTGTGTCGCCTTGTCCCGTTACCCATGACCATGAATTTTTAAGCCCCCTCGTCTTGTTCTCAACGGATTTGTTCAAGGTTGTTCACCGTTCACATAGCAGCCTATAGCAGGTTGGCGGGGTAGTCGGCAACTTACCGACTTCCCGCACGTTCCGCATCCAACCAGGGACGTTCCAAATACCTAGTTACGGTAAATTACATGAAAACATTGCCTGAAAAGTGCTAAATGGTGGCGTCACAGGTTGTCACCCTGCGCAATCATATCAGTGAAGTTCGATGGGTAGACAGTTCAATTTTGATTCGATCCCTCCTTCCCAGCACGTAGCCCAGCTATCTTTTCAACTATGGCTCATGAACATCCCCCATCCCTCTGGCGCTGGATGAAGAAAAGCGCGAAGACAATTACTGGCAATAATGGTCGGCGAGTAAAACCTGCGATGGTGAGCGTGCTCTCCTTTCGAGCCACCTTTGACTCACTGGTGCCTCACCGCATCGATAGCACCAGGAGCGTAGCCTGCCTATGGAGCTCTCAGGACACATAATTCAGTACTTGCAAGACGATATGGCAACAATGATTCGCTGTGGCCTCGTATGCCGAACGTGGCTCACAATTAGTCGGCCACATGTATTTCAAGAGATATGTCTTGACAGCCGCAACGCGGACGAGTTCGCTTCTCTCATTATGCACTCCATGTCCACTATTCCACCATCTGTCCAAAAGTTGGAATTGGTACCCTCCCCACCCCCAGATCCTCGATGGCTTCGTCGGCTCGTGCCATTCCTTGGCTTCCTCGCAGATGTGTCTTTCCTCCAAGTCGAAAATGTCGATTGGTCAGCTCTCCACTCTAACTCCAGAAAGAATTTCGTCTCGACCTTCAATACTCTCACCGAACTATATCTCGGAAACATGACATTTGTGGAACTCTCGGAGGTTGTAACATTAATTTCCTCTTTTCCTCTCCTTGAATCCCTTGCCTTGAGTCAAGTCTCCTGGACGAGTTCTCAGTCTGCTGGTGCAAGACATAGGTTACCGCCGTCATTAAAGAAACTGAAACTCCTTTCTACACAAATTCATCCAATCCTTTCCTGGATACTGTCCCATGACCAACCACATCGTATCAAAACTCTGGGACTGACTTCTATTAGGGATGCAGATTCTAAAGCTCTCCGACAATACATGGCGATCCTTGGGCCCCGTCTGGAGGCCATCACGATGGGATTTCAGGAGCCTATAACCTATTCATATATGCCCATTGAACCTGAACCTGAGGTAGAATCGACGTCATCTCCATCATCGCGTACCACCACAAATCCTAAATGTGTCGTTCTCTCTCTTCTCACCGGCCTACGCACTGTGACCCTATCAAACTTCATCAACCATGCAGACTTGGTGACTTCCAGCTCCTCATCCTGGGCCCCATACATAATCGAGTCTCTTAATTCTCTTCACATGGAGAGAGTTATCCTGGAAATTTCCCTTTCCGACATGGGCGAACTGGACGCCCATTCCACTGATTGGGAACGTTTAGACTATGCTCTAGATCGCCCCGTCTACGCCAACCTGCAAGGCGTCCACGTTCAGGTGCAGGGGTCCGTGGATAGGAAGGAGATATCCAGGTTCATTCAAACCAAACTCCCGATTTGCCATGGGCAGGGCTTACTCTACATCGGTTGAGACGAGCCACCGTTACTTCGGAACTGCGTCATCGTGAGTGACTCCGTCCTATGGCCGCCGACATGGAGGTGTTATGAGGACTGTCCGACAGTGTACTCTGGGTCGCCGATTTGTATCTCCGCGTAATTGCCACATTTGAGCGCCCCAGGGTGCTTGCAGAGTATGTACTTTTAGTTTCGTTTACTTACAGAAATGGCGACGCGATCTCTTACCTGATTGGAGACTAATTCGGCAAAATTTTGGTCTATGACACTAGGTATTACTTAGAACAGACAAAATAGCACTAAAGTGTAGCGGAACACTCAAGCTTGATAAAAACATTTATGATCCTTCACGCGGTTCGGGTTCAATTCCTCGCAGTGCTACTAATGAGGCTCACTAGTCGTCAAATTTTGAGCCGTTCCTAAGCGTTGCTACTACTAGTAACGAATACTGTAGGAGGACAACATCAACACTCCAAGGTGCTTGATACATCTAGATTACTTGTGCGAGCCTAATTACCTGAAAATTCATCCAAAAACAACGAGAAAGAATAACAGTCTTCGCGCGATTTCAGGTTACATTGATTGATATCCAGTCAAGCGGTCTGCACAGAAAAGGGCATGCATGAACGGTTCACAAACATTAATACAACCCAGCCAGCCAGGCAAAAATTGTAAGGATATAATATACATATGCATATCATCCAGCAGCATGCGCAACTTCAATGTCCTTCCTCAAGCTCGTGTATCGCTGTCCTCCCAAGGTTAGAGCGCATAACCAGCAACGACCTCCTCCTCCCCATGTCCATCATCACTTGCCGCACCCTTCCTCCTCCCCACCTCCGCCACTTCAACCCCAACGCCATTAACACTGCCCAGAGGTGGGACCATCCTTCCAGCAACAGGGGGAGTAACACTTCGCATCGTCCGGCTCTGCTCCCTGCTCAACGCCCCTCCCAACCCCACACCTACCCCCTCCTGTTGCGGTTGGTGTGAAGACAAAGGAGGCGCAGACGAACTCTCCCCCCTCGAAGAAGTCGCCCCAGCCGAAGATATAGAAAATCTAGGCGCCCTCGTAGAGAGAAACGAACCAATCCCGGCACTCCATGCTGCCACGTTCGCTTTGAGCGGTGTTGCCGTACTCGGTGTCGGTGGAGCTGTCCTCGTTTCTGCCGTTCCTTGCCCTTGCCCTTGTCCCTCCCCAGCACCCGCACCCAAAGTCAACCCAGCAAACGAAAACGGACGCATAAAGCTCGCCTGAGTCGCCGTCTTCCCATCATCCACCAAATCCGACTTGGACACTTCAACGGGCGTACTATACCCAGACACACCATCGCTGTTCACAGACGAGGAGCCTACAGACGACGTTCCCGAGCTCGTGACAGAAGAAGCACCCGAAGACGAAGACCTCTGAGCCCACCTCCCTTTGACCCCCTCGACAGCTTTGAAGAAATTGTTAGAGCCCACGGTCAACGTCCGCGCCACAACTTCTCTTGCAGGCGCGAGCTGCTGGTCAAGTTTGAGGTCTTGAATGCCCTCTTTTAGTTGGAGTCCAATGTCGGCTACTACGGATGGTTTTTCGTTGCATGGATGTCTGTGTAAAGAGACGGTTAGATTATGATTTGAGGGATGGAGGGGGAGGAGAGAATGAAGGTGGGAGGGAGGATGGATGAAAGGAGAAAAGAGGATGAAGAAAGAAAGGGAGGGAGGGAAGGGAGAAGGGGGGGTGCAAAGAATAGAGAAAAGAACAGAAAAACAAGTCACCTAGGCTCAACAATATCAAACAAAAGCGAATCCGTCGTCCGCTCCCAAACATCATACGCATTCGTAGTCTTAAACTCGGATATCCAAAGCGGGTTAAAATCATCCATCGAATTTGGGTCTCCCCCTGTAATCCATCCAATCAGCATCTCCACGAAAAAAGAAAACGGAAGAAAGGACGTACCAGATCCACCAGTGATCAACACCCCACCTCCCTCGCCCTTGGCCACAAAATCACGGTATTTCACGGTAGCAAGCGCAGCAGCGATGTATTCCTCGAACTATCATTCATTCATCAGTCCCCCACTAATATTTGAGAGAGAGAAAAAGGAAAAACCTTCGTCCGGAGATAATCATCACTGCCTTTGAACCTGCCCAAACGCATCAGTTACATCGAAAGAAGAAGAAAAAGACAACCCACTGTATAGTAGGCAACCACCTCGCACCCTCCTCACTCCACCCCTCATTCACATCCGTCACAATATCATCCATCCACTTCCTATCAGCCGCCGTCAGCCCTGCCGACCTTTCCAGCTTTGGATCTCGGAATTCGAAGACGCCTGTTTCTGTCTGTGGTGCCGGTTGGGTGAGTAACGTTGTGGCGGGATAAGGATACGGAGAAGAGAGGAAGCAAGAAAGAAAGGAAAGAAGGAGGGCATGGACGAAAAAGACGAAGGGCGGAAAGAAGAGAAGGAAAAGGCGATAGGGAGGGTGGAAGGTGGAAGGAAACAGAAGGAAGAAAATAGACAAGGAGGAGAGAGAAAGAAGGAAGGAAGGAAGGAAGGAAGGAAGGAAGGAAGGAGGGAAAGTGGAAAGCTGAGAAGGATAAAGGTGTAAGGAAGATGGAAAGGGACATACATTAACCAACAAATCAATCTCCTTCTGATGCGTCACAATAGAATTCGTACACCCACACAGCCAGCTGGGGGTTTGCTTGATCATATCAAGCTGTTGCAACGGGAGATAAGGCTGGAAGAACGCGTCCTATCCACCAACATCATCATCATTAAAACCCACATTTTATTCATGAAAAACAACGCACCTTCCCAAAAATATCTAAAGGAAGCCCCATAAACGCCATCATACTCTTCCGATCCGACGTCCGTAACGACGATGGTTTGGACAGCGTAGGCGCACGAGAGGCGAGTGGGGGCGAGCCAGAGTCGTCTAGTGTTTGGAGCAGCCCCGGGAGGAGCGAGACGAGGGAGTATTGGTAGGTGCATAGCCGCTCTACGGGGTATCCGTAAAACATAATCTGTGTACGGATGATTAGATGGTAAAAAAAGGAGAGATGGGAGGGGGTACAAACCCTTTTTTGCAGCATGAGTGCTTTTACTAGGACGAGGGTTCGTTGGCGGAACGTATGCACCAGCTCGCGGAGACTCGTTCCTACACGTGGAATGTTACTGAACGATTTTAAACACACATGATTCAAGAACGCTTACCCATGTACAACCCACTCTCCGTCAACTGTCCCCGAAGAGACACCTCCAAAGAAGATCCAAAATCATCAAGAATACTCGCGTCTGTGAAATCTCTACATCGATGTTCATCCCAACGTCTGAACGGATCAACGTCATCTCTCACCTCTGTTCGAAAAGCGCGGTAGTCACTACTCGGAGTTTTTCCCTACATCCCCACACATTATCAGCTCACATAGTACCACAAACTGATAGCTGGGAGATAACCAACCGTATGGGTCCAAAAACAGGTTTCGAAGCTAGAACAACTACAGCTTTTTGTACTGTCGACCGCGTAACGTCCGGGCCTTTGACAAGAAGACTGCTAGCAGCTATTTGCTGGTTACATCTGTGTGATAACGGCGTGTCATTCCCGTCCTGGGACTCTGGAGGTGAATTTGGGCTCTTACGAGATTCCGAATATAGTTGTGGGGCTTGGACCGGGCTGGACGAGGTGGAAGTAGGAGTAGTCCTCCGTGCTCTATCATCAATTGTTCTTCAGATTGGTATGAAGGCGAGAAAGGTAAAAGTGTACACACCATATGAGCCCCATCGGGCAAAGCAAGGAACGGCAAGATCTTCGCCACCTCTTCATCATCGAAAATCTCCCCTCGCGAGTACTCAATCCGTGGGCCGACCTAAACAAATCCGCTCCCTGGGTTAAATACAATACAAAGATAGAACGCACAAAGGAAATGGGGGGAAATACCAGATGATTGAAATCCACCAACGCGATTCCCAGAACCAATTTCCCAGGGAGTGGCGTGACTAGCAGGGATTCCGGCCTTGTCTTCCTCGAAGAGCCTGAGGCGAAGGAGGATATGGAGATGCTATCGTCTCGGTGGGGTGGCGGGTAGGTCGGGAGCACCGACGCGTCAGGTTTGTAGTAAGAGGAAGGTTCGTCGTATATAGACGGGGCAGCTGAAGTGTCGGGTGTCTCACGAGGCGCGAATGGGTCTAGCTCGTCGGTGTACGCTGCACGGGAGTAAGAACCCGAGCTGGCGCTGGTTGCGAAGGACTGACGCGGGTTGCTGCTTGCGAAGGACTGGCGGGGGTCGCTTGCGCTGGCGAAGGACTGTCGTGGGTCGCTGACGCTGGCGAAGGACTGTCGCGGATCGGAGGTAGAGTTGCGAGGAGATGCAGGAGGAGATGAGAGGGAGATGGAGCGCTGGGAAGCGGTGTCGGCATCGCTGTCTGGGGCGTCGCGGACGACGAAGTTGTGCGAGGAGAGGGTTGGGGACGGCGGCGGGAGGAGCGACGAGTGGGGCATGGTGACCCCACGGTTGCAATGTAGAGATTTAGATGGTGGTCGAAGTGATCCTCTGATTGTTTGTTTCAGTCGTCATAGCGAAACAGAACGGAAGTGGATTCCCTCCGACAATGCAATGAACGGAAAACAACTCACCGTATGTATCAACTTCGCCACCCTACCAGTCCTCTCATTCCTCTTTTTCAACACCTTAAGAATAGCTTTCGCACTAGGCAATGCATCCGCAAAGTTCAACGATCAGCTTATCAACTTGTAACAAGTTCAAGGCCGAAGCTGGCAAGGGGGGAGCACAATTTTAATTTAATATATCATGTTGATTTTTTTGATAAGGCCAATATGGCCGGACTAACCAACCAGGTGTGGGAACAACCTTCCATATAGAGGTAAATCTATAAATAGGTAATGTGTTTTGGGATGTCGGCAGCCGTCTTATCCTTCGTTTGCAGCCCCTTCCTCTACTTTTCTTCATGCTCTTACATGGGTCACAAACCCAGTCATTGATACCAAGACCCACTGGCAGTCCAACCCATGAAAAGTCGTACTGCATAGTCAGTGGTCACGCTGAAATGACACAAAAAGAAAATGACCTACCCACAATGTCTCACAGCCTTTTTGCCCACAGATAATTACTCTGCTTTTGTCCTCTGCCTCAACTGCATCACTCTCACCTCAATTACAATGTGGACAGAAAACAGTTTTATCATCTCAAATATTGTCCTCAATCTATATCATATACCAGGCTTCTTAGATCACAAGTGTGAAAAGCATAGGAAGTACTGCACTTGGTAAGTGGGGACAGCTTGCAGAACACCTCAGAGAGCGCAGTGAGCTCATCCAACCCATAGATTACCCGAAATTGGTACTTTAAATAAAAAAATTTAACAGCCTGCCGGCTGGACTAACCAACCGACCCCATATGGCAGATTCAAATCCTGCTCCCCCCTTGGAAGCTGGTGGTGAAACGAGCTCTTGAGTCTTTATATGCTAAATTACATGGTGCGTATGACGGCCAGAGATAAACCACTAAAGTCAGGAACCACCAAAAAAATGACGCGTCAAGGCAACGTCAAGGTCCCCAACGGGCAGGGTCTGAGCGCCTGTAGGCAGCACTGGCATGCCTCATACTTGGTGTTGAGGTCGAGATTAAGGTCACCATCAGCTATAGGATTTGACAAGAAGTTGGTCGGTTTTACGACGTTGTTACGACGGTCTGAACAGGGAGATACTATTAAGGTCACCATTGGCCATGCATCATGGTCTTCAATCTTGAACTATTGCTAGTCTTTTTCAAAGGTATCCGTCATACTGATGCACAATCGCCATGGTCTTCTTTCAATGTGTCGATGCCTAGAACACCGCAGCGTATATAGTGCGGAACGTTGGGGATATTTTACGTTGGCTTCAAGTGGACATTCAACTGTGAAACCCTCATTCAGCAATAGCATGAGGAATTCATTCTCCAACCTATCCTTTCTCTCCTGGTTGGTTTCTTGGGTTTCACCGGGCGGTCAAACATCCGATGCTTCAGAGCTTGCACGTTAATCGATGCTGCCTTACCTGGAAAGGTGTTCTACCCCGGTAAGTGTCCTATCTTTCCCAATTATCATTGTTCACAACTTCTTTCCTAGGAACGAAAACATACGCGGAGGACATCGCTCACTTCCAAGCTTCCGCCGAGCAAAACTCGACTTCCGCCGTCAACCCGTCCTCTGTTGAAGATCTCTCGGCAGTCGTTGAGTTGTTCTACCTACTTTTATATTGAAGCTGATACTTAGATTGCCAGATCAAAATAATTGGACGCGACGACATCCGTGCACCTTTCGCCGTCAGTTCGGGTCCATTCTCAACCGGAATGATTGCTTTTAATACTGACAACCTGTGTAGGTCAGAAGCGGCGGACATGCCACCAATCAGGGATTTAGCTCGACGACGGGCCGCCGGGCGTTCAGATATCAATGGCAAGCTTCACCTCAGTTGTTTACAATGAAGCCTCTGGAACGGTGTCTTTAGGAGCCGGTTGCAAATGGCATGAGATTTACGCTAGCTTAGAGCCATACAACGTAACAGTCGCAGGCGGCCGCGTGCCCGGCGTTGGTAGGAATTTTCATATCTGTATTCATCAGTAGTTCTGATTTTTTTCAGGTGTTGGTCTTATTCTCGGAGGCGGGTACAGCTGGATCGCGGACCAATACGGCCTAGGAATCGACAATGTTGTTTCCTTTGACCTAGTCCTGCCAAATGGGACGTTCGTTACCGTCAGTGACGCTAACCACCCAGAGATTCTCTTCGGCCTGAAAGGAGGACTGAATAATTTTGGAATCATCAGCAGAGTGACGATGTATGCTCGTCCCTTGGGTGCAGTCTGGGTTTGTTGGTTTATTATGCCTAACGGCTTCTTTCGGCTAATATTGGTTACCTTAGGGTGGAATGATTACTTACGCTCCCTCTGACGAGATCTCACAAGCTTTGGCGGATTTCAGTTTGTATAACACCGATCGTAAAGCTCAAATTGTTGCGGACTATGTTCAGACAGGCGTTGATCAGGTTAGTCTGACATTTATAAACATCCCACGAATGCGTCCTGACCGAGTCCTTCAAGGCGGCGTGGCTGATAGTCATGTTCTACGACGGAGGATTCCAACCGGCCGTTTATCAACCATTCCTAGATATTCCAGCGCTCGCAAGTAACGTCGGCGTTCGTACGTTCCCCGACCTTTTGGCAACTATTGATATCACCTCCACGTACGTATTCACCAAGTTGAATAATACTTACTTCCTTCATAATAACATAAAACAGAAAATCCGGGGTTTTTTGAATATGATACCGATTGCAAAGTACACCCTCCCCATCATCGACGAAATTCAAAGACAAATCAATCTCACCTATCTACAAGCCCACACGGACAACCGCTCCATCATCGCACTCATACTTGGCGTCCAGCCATTCATTGGCGCTTTTGATTTCGAAACGCCCTCTGCCTACCCGCACTCCCAAAACCGCCACGTTACGCCTGCCAACCCTCTTATCACTTTTGCTAACTTGGCAGACGCGGAGTACTTTCACGATTTATTGTGGAAGATGTCAAACACCATTCAGGCCTCTGCTGTCTCTCAAGGACAGAGCCGATGGGACGATATCCATCATCCGAATCTTGCTCTTGATGATCCGCCGAAGGAGTTGTTGTTTGGATCTAATATTACTCGGCTGAAGCAGATTAAACACAGTTGATCCCAAGGATATTATGGGACTAACTGGTGGATTTAAATTCTAACGTCGCAGCCCTAATAATGGTCTTTATTGCATGGAAAAAAATCGGGAGTACATTACATATATTTTACACTTTTCAGATACCTTGAACTTGCTTCGCATAGGAAATAAATGGCGACAGGTCAACGAGATGGGAGCCTCCCCAGATTATACTCTTTAACCTCAACAGTAGACCTTGGTTGAAGTGGCGCAGAAGATGGAGCGAAACCTGTCTCAAGGTTGTTAATCCTTGTAAAAAGCCCAGATTTTGGACCAACAGGGAAAGCAACCTCATTTGAGAATAAGTATCAATACACCAATATCGTCTTCAGAAATATTCATACACCATTTCCGGCACCGCAAAATCACAGAAGGACTATTTACGCGTCACTTTTCCAATCAAACCCTCAATCTCAGGCTTCACACTAGCCAACAACGCCTCCTTCCCCTTCACAGGCCTCCACCCAAGCGCACGGGCACGATCAGCCCGTGGGCGGACATTCGACGAAAAGAATGACCAATTTTTCTAGTGAGTTCAAGGTTAGAACCCAACCTAACACAAATTATTTCTACCTAAGGAATCAACGTACCCCAAAATACAACTCCAGCTCGTCATTAGTAAACGCTGTCGCCTCCCTCGTCGCACCAATACCCAACTCAACGAGTGCATCGGAAGTAGCTTTAGCGAGCTCGTACCCCGTATATTCGGCATTTTCGACGAAGTAGATTCCCTCGCGGCCGTGTGCGAGGCTGGAAGGGTTAGCGAGGAGGGCGTTGAAGAGGATTAAGTAGAGGTCCGCGGCTGTGTTTGGAGTGGGTTATCAATAATTAAGTAGTAGGTAGGATAAATGAGGGGAAGAAAGCAGAGGGACTTACTGTCCTCAACATCAGCAGCCGGCGAAACATTTTTCCCCAACCCAATATACCCCCCTTGTTTTCTAGCAATCCCGACCTTGAAAAAGATCGGAATCAGGATAGAATGTAAATTCTGGATTCCCAGGTCGACGAGTGGACCAGAGGGGGTGCCGAATATATTCCCTGTCCCAACAAATTACTTAGCACCATTTATCCCTGACGCAGACTCCGAAGGGCCACAAGGGCAGAAGGGAAGAAAAGAAAAAAAGGGAGGGCGTACCAGGAGCAATGATATACGACCTCAGATACCCCTCCTCATCCGCCTTGATAATAGGCACGTCAACGTGCCTATGGAATTTATTGTCCGGTAGAGCATTGATGGCGTCCGCGTCTCGGAGGTCGCTGTAAATGAGATGGTCCCCGTGTAAACCTCTCGCGTCGTCCATTACGAAAGCTTCGTTGCAAAATTATGTAGACTCGGCACGATAATAAAATACAATCTTACGAACCTGCGCCGGACTATGTCACAAATACTAAGGATCAGCTGCAATGAACCAAAGAATGAACGGAAAGAACTCACCGTATGTATCAACTTCGACACCCTACCAGTCCTCTCATACCTCTTTTTCAACCCCTCAAGAATAGCTTTCGCACCAGGCAATGCATCCGCATCCGCCTTCAAGTTCACGATCAGTCTCCCAAATTCAAGGCCGAGAGCGAAACCCCACATTCACTCACCAAAGAAAACACAACATCCGCATCCCCCGCCTCCCTTTCAAGCACATCCAAATCATCATACGACCCAACAACAGGTCGAACACCCAATCCCTTAAGCTTCTCACCCTTCTCCGCCGTCCGGACGAGGGCGGAGATTTGGAAGGAGCCCGAAGTGAAAGAGGGGTGTATGAGAAGCCGGGAGAGGACTGAGCCTCCTATGTATCCTGCACAGAATGGATTATTTCAGAGGGTCAAGGATTTTTTTTTGAGAAGGGAATGCTGCACCAGTTGCACCGGTTATGAAGATGTTGAGTTTGGTTTGGGTGGACATTACGGATATTTGGAGGAATAGTTGTTTTCCAGCTGGTGAATAGACGAGCTCTTGGGTCTTTATATCCTATACTATGCGGTGCAGCGGGTATGGCTGCCACAGATTAACCAATTCGTCGCGTCTAGATAATAGAGTCGGAACTCGGAACCGCCAAAAATAACGCGTCAAGGTCCCCACCGGGCAGGGTCTGAGCGTCTTTGTGGGTAGGGTGCCTCGTGCTTGGTATTGAGGTTGAACCATCGGCTATAGTTTTTGACAACCGGGTAAGAAGTTGGCCGGTTTCGCGATGGTGAAAACAGAGAGTTGATAGTAATAAGGTCACTATCGGCCATGCATCATGGTTTTAGACTCCTAGGCTACTAGTCAGCCTGAGGATCGATCCATCAAAGTGTAGGATATCCTAGTTGGATTAGCCTGACTTGAAGCAGCGAGCCCATGCGTCCAGACGCCTTATCAAGGGATATGCGAGGTAGTGCGGTTTCTTGGGTCGCGGGCAGGGTCTTGGTGCAAATTTGGGTGACACTTGGTATCGACGTTGAGTTCAAGGTCACTTCCGGCCAAGTTTTAGACTATGCCGGCTAAGCAGTAGACCGGTATTGTGATGGTGCAACCAGAGTGTCGACAGCATCAAGGTCACTATCGGCCGTGGATTTAAATCCTGGGTAAAATACCAGGACAGTAGCCGGTATGTCAAAGGTGCATGCAAAGGGCTACAGGGCCAGTGGCAACTTCAGCAATTGACAAGTTGACGGCCCAAGTCACGCAAACCAGACCAGAAGGGAAAAAAAGACGATAATCATGATGTAGATCAGGATTCAGCCAGTAGTAGCAAGCCCAGCTTGGAGATCAATCCATTCAGTATCCATTGCTAGTAGCGCTCGGCAGACTGAAATAGTAAGTCCAGGGACTAGACAGACAGATATGGAGCACTTGGCCGTGGTGCACTCGTGTCGGAAGGAAACATTGTGGCGCACGTGCACAGCCCCTAATCAGCACCAAGCCAAGAATAGCCTTGTTGCAGCGTGCTCAGCGCCCAAAAGTCGGATGTAACGCTGCAGCTCTCCCCCTTTCCTTCACTCTACCACCCAGTCGCCTCCTCCACGCTTCACCCAGCGCCTCCGCCATGTCCCTTACCCACTTTCTCCAGTGCCTCGCATTCGTCTTCCTTGTAACCGCCTCCCCAATCCAAGACGACTCTCAGACAGTCTTGATTCAGAGTAAAGATAACAATAACATTAACAGAGGTGTCGGCTGGTTCGACCCGCGTGTTAATGGGGGTCGATTTTTAGATGTATGTTCATCGGAGTCTTCAGTGGTCACCACGTTTATTGATGATACTGTGGTAGTTCACGACGAAACGATACGGGGAGCCTTTGAACGTTATAATATCAGGCCTATCGGATCCATACATCCTAACCGACACGGGGCTACACGCCTATGCCAAGTCCGTCTTCCTCTTTCTTCCATTCTCCTCGCATCGATCTAACGCCCTACTTAGATCCCTGGGATACTCCGAAGAATGCCTAGGACTCCACTACGGCGACCTGCACGAAGCAGATCTAGGCGATGGGGACGGGAAGAAAACGGAACATTTCCTTGCTAGGCAGCATTATTTCCCTGTGTGGGGAACGTGTTGGGAGAGTCTTGCTGGTCTGTCTCTTCTCTTCTTTAGCCTTTCTCTAGCACTTTAACTTTGAACCGACGTACATAGGAGGACAACATTTCCGCTCATGGAAACAGAACGGGACAAAGGCGAATAGCGGGGCGTGGTTCATTGGGTTCATTCGTTTGCCTTCTTCCCACATTGACTACTGTCACGCTAACCCCCTTGCCCTCCCCGTCCCCTCAGAGCATCGAAAGAACTAGTATGTTCCCTTTTCTTTTCCCTTTTTTTGACTCTTACCCCTGAACCCTAAAGGACTCGAGTAAGCACCACACAATCGTCCCAGACGGGTACAACCTCGGCCGCGACTGGCTCGTCGATCGTGCCGTAGAAGGCGGGCGGTGGAAAGGGATGTGGTGGAAGGCGGATGTGGAGTATCGTACGGACTTGTTGGAGGAGGGGAGGAAAGGTAATTTTTTTTCCTTTTCTTTGGGTGAGGTAACGGGACTGATCGAGAGGGGCAGGTGTTAATCATCATATTGCGCAAGATGGGCGGGTGGCGATACTTACTGTTAAACGCCTTTAACCTTTTACGATGTGGCATGCCCCCTTCATCCATCAACCCATTCACCAACCCAACTATCCCACCACCCCTCATCCATCCCGGTCACCCTCAGCCTTATAGACATCCCCCGCCGCCGCCCCTTTATGGTTATTCATTCATCGCCTTGGACCCCATCCTCAACCCGATACGGCGCGAACGTGTCGACACATCGTTACGACCTCTTAATAATGATATCCATCCTTCGACCCAAATAAATATCATTCATTCATTCGCATGGAACTCATTCGTTCGTTCACGGCCTACCCATTATCATCCATGGCCTATCTATCGATATCACGGCTCAGCCCTCTGATCTTCTGCGAGACCCATCCTACAAGCTTCAGCCATGACCGCTTCTCATCCTCCACTTTCCCTGGTACTATAACCAGGCGCGTCGTCCAAGACTTTCAGTTGCTCCTCACCTCGAGGCGTAATTCTATGTTGGATTCTTGTTGAATGCTTTTATTTTCCTTTCAATGTATGTATGTGTGTAATGTATCATTGTTGTTCGTATCCATCAGCAAGCTACTTCCAGAGGCGCAGCACAAACATATAAAGCACTCAATAACTTGCAAGAGTGTTCCTCAATCCATTGCACACCTGCTACTACATCTTTCTCTCCTACGCATCAAATAAGCAAGAGACCATTGTTCAGAATTTGAAACCACCCGTGAGCCCCATAACATCCTCCGGATCCACCTCCCTCTTAATCCGCCTCAACTTCGGCAAATTCTCTCCATACAACAGCTCCACAGGCGTACCATCAAGTGCAAAGTTAAGGGATCGGGTATCATCCCATTGACTCCTACCCTGCCCAACAGCAAACCCTTGCACGGCACGTGACAGATCGCGTAATGCCTGATGAACGTACTCGGCGTCATCTAAACCGGAAAAGGAGATGAATGCAGTGAAATGCGTGGCTTCACTGCTGGAAGGATGGGGGTATGCGGAGGGTGTCTCAAAGTCGAATGCGCCGACGAAGGGCTCCAAGGCGGCTTGGACGGCGAGAACGGAGCGGTTGGCGATGAGCGCTCGGTGGTAGGTTACGTTGATTTGGTGTTGGATTTCGGCAATTATGGGGAGGGTGTAGTTGGAGATTGGGAGTGTGTTTGAGAAACCTCCTAGTTTCCTGTGGGGATGTCATATAGTATTGAGGATATCGACTGATTAGCGCTTACGTTGTGACAGGATTGTTGGTCCCCACTAAGTCTGTGAGCGTGCGGACGCTAACGTTTGATGAGAGCGCTGGAATATCGAGGAATGGTTGATATACAGCTGGTTGAAAGCCTCCATCATAGAACAGGAGTATTTCCCAGATGGCCTACAGAGAAACTTGATCAGAGTAGGTTCGTGACAAGCTTCAGTATATGTGGATTGACCTGGTCAGGGCCGCTCTGAATATAGTTCGCAACAATCTGGGCCTTCCTATCGGTGTTGTACAAGCTGAAGTCTGACAGTGCTTGGGAGATCGCGTCTGAAGGAGCATAAGTTATTGGTCCACCCTGAAAACAATGATATTGGCTGCAAGAAAGCATCGAGCTCGACAAACTGGCTTACCCAGACAGCCCCCAACGGATGAGCATGCAATGTAAGCCCACTGACAATTCCGAAGTTATTCGACCCCCCTCTCAAGCCAAAAAGAAGTTCTGGGTGGTTTGTGTCACTAACAGTTACAAACGTCCCATTTGGCAGGACTAGGTCGAAAGAAACGACGTTATCCACGCCTAGCCCGTATTGATTTGCGAACCAACTATACCCGCCTAAGAGAACAAGACCAACACCTGAAAATAATCAAGATTGGCGATGCGTTCGACAAAGCAAACGTCTTACCGACACCGGGCACTCGGCCACCAGTAACTGTGACATTGTCCTTTTCAAGAATCGCGTATACCTGGTCCCACGTATGGCCACTTCCAACATACACTGTCCCAGCTGTTTCGTTGTAGATGACTGAAGTGAAGTTCGCCATCGCTATTTGGACGCCGGCGGTCGAGCTGAACCCCTTGTTAAATGCATGTCCTCCGCCTTTGATCTACACCATTCATGAGTAACGTCAGGAACTCATAGAAAACTTGCGACTGACAGCAAAGGGTGCACGGATATCGTCACGTCCGATTATCTTGATCTGGAAAACATTCAGTATGATAAGTTCTTTTGAAAGGGCAAAAGAAGCGACGCACAATTGTCGAAAGATCATCAACAGAAGATGGGTTGACAGCGCATGTCGAGTTCTGTTCTGCAGATGACTGGGAGTGTGCGATGTCCTCCGAGTATGTTTCCGAACCTGTCACCAACGATGGTGTTAAGTACGTATATGGGGAACATGGGGCAAGGTAGGACACGGACCGGGGTAAAATACCTTTCCGAGAAGCGCGGCTTGGATTAAAGTGCATGCTTGCGAACTCGCGGATGTACGTGTAGCCACTGAGGCCCCAAAGGTCATCAAAGACCTTGAGAGGAGGTACAGGCTGAGAAATGTGATCCTCATCTTCGGTAGGTTGGCTTTTGACAAAAAGGAAGAGACCCCCCTTTTTATACTTCAAGGTGACAGCGGTTGACCATCCCTGACATCCCGCCACGATGATAATCAATTCCACAACCACGGACTTCTAGATGGGGTCCATGAGATTTAAAACGACAACGAGTATGGCACAGCGATTACGAACGTTGTGGTACGTCCACGTCAAAAGTGACACCATGATCTGAACCTTCCTCTTCCCTTGCTGCTCCACCCTTGCGCCTTGACACTCTCTTCCCTCTCTCGCCTCCGATTCACCCTTCTTGAGCGCCCAACTACAACAGGCGAGTCTGTCAGACGCTTCTTTCGCTTGGCCACTAGTTCCGATCGAGTTTTTCGGCTTCTTGTCTGGGAAGTGTATTTTGCATGAAAGCTAAGGCTCGGAGAAATAATGAGGCCATCTATGTGGCAAGCTATTCCAAGGTAACCTGTAGGCGTATGTGGTATCTTGAACTCTGTCACACCGTGGTTTGCGGGTAGATGCAAAAATCCATCATTTTTGCTTCCGATAGAGTCGTGTATCCCTGTAAATAATGTGTAAGTACGGAAACGATTGAGCATTCAATATTCAAGAGGCGAACGTCGTTCACAAGTGGGCCATAAGGTTCCCCCATGTTTTTAAAGGTTTGTGTTTGAGGAACTAGTAACAGTTAAACTGGATTTGTTGTAAGGTAGGATGAAATGGCATAACTCACGGTAGTGTTGTCGGCCAACATCGTTGAAGTTGAAATGGCAAGTTGATGGCAAGACGATGGAGAAAGTTGTTGGCCAGGCATCGGCAAGTTCCGATCATACCCCTTTCCTCAGAACCCCTTCAAGTGACAAGCAGGCTACAGCCATTCCTGTCGTCGTGCGTACTCGTCTGTGTATCGAGCCTGCCCGTTTATGCTAATCTTTCTCAGTGTTAAGTCATGGCGGTGTTGACGTTGTTGGTCCCTGGCTCTCCTCCCTGCATGCCTGAACAGTGAAGATTCTGGCATAATAGCTCTGTAAGTGAGTTGTTTTCACTACAGCCTCATAGCTTTCGTTGATCGGGTTCTGGACAGCATCCAAGTCGTCTATACTCGGGTTGTACGCTGCGTTAAATAATAAGCCCCTTCTGTAAGGTGCAATCTTCTTGGCATCTTCCCTCTCAACATTCATCAACAGGGAATACCACTAGCTGCACATTGCAGAGTGGCCGGCATTTTATGAATGCCTGACCAACACGATACACCTCTCAGCGTTAATGACCCTTTGATTCACCATCTAACATGGGGAGACATCATTCGCCTTACGGTAAGTGGCTTGACAAATACATGATATCGACATCCAAAATGACCACTTCCCTCCTTCTAGCTTACCTCTCAAGCTTGCCTTCTTAGTTTCATCAGTTTTCTATTCGTTCTCCTTGTCACTATTGTACGTGCTTTTGTTAGTATTCCTTTGGCGAAAAGCTGAGTAACTTCCCCTTTGAAGCGCAATGCCATCCATCGGCGGCGGCGGCGGCGGCAGCGCAGACCTACAGCACCAATGAGGACACAGGGCATCTTTCAGAAACCTATGTATACTCTCCTAGTACTTTTAGTAGGTCGCATATCTTACCCCTTCACCATAGCGGTCATTCATGACAATTTCCGTCCAGCTCTGCATCATCAGCGCAGATATCTTACAAACCATCGGTTCTGCGCTGGATCTGGAATGGATTCGTGGTGGCTATCTCGCAGAAGTTGCCGAAGTTCCCTTTGCTCAAGGTAATTCTTCAATTATATATGCCTGTATCATGATACTTTATCATACCACGTTAGGGGCTCTTAAACAGATAAGCATTGTGCTGAGCAGCCTGCTAAATAACGGTACTTTCTTACCATAATCATGTGGCAGGTCGTCGCTTTATTGTAACTATTTCCATCTTGTGTTTATCTCATAGCACAAAACAGTTTTTTGCACGTCGAAAGCAGTGGGTACGCGGTGCAATAAAATAAACCCTCAAATTCTCACCGCCTGCAACCACTTGCTCTCATCTCAGTACTTTGACGCCTCAGGTCCCCTTTGCCTCGTCCGCCTCCCACTCCCCCGCTTCGGGTCCACAACGACGACGGGATCTGCATGAGTTTCTTCCGATTCGCCGCTATCCCCAATTTTTAGCGCTTCCCTCTTCTTGTCGCGTTTTCGGGGGAGAGAGCCTGGAGAGGGCACATATGAATTGAGAAGGGAGGCGCATGGGCTGATGGCCATCGAAGTGATGCTATGGGCTCTTTCGCGCCCCACTGGTTTGCGCGCAGGAGGAAAGGGAATTTTTCATCGGCTTCTGTGGTAGACAACTCGAGAAGAAAAAAACCGAGAAGGGGAGGCGGACCTCGTTTACATACATAGCCTTATTTAAATCAACTTTGTCGGGTTTTTGAGGAACTATCTCATCCATAGGAAGAGATGATGACTTGAGCGATTACTTACAGTCGGAAGCACCGCAGAGATTGGAATTGACGGCTATGCTTGTGGAATCGGAAAGTTCCGAGATCTGGATCCGGGCCGGCATTAATTTTAGCACAACTCCATCCCACCTCCACCCGACCTCCACCATTCAACGAAAACAAGGCTCGCTTGTACAAACCGTTTCTTTAAACACATTCGGCCGCGATTTTCTCTCGATATAAGGCTCAGGCCTAATTGATGACTCGCGGCATGGGACTTTCGCTCTCACCCAACCCTCACCACCTTTTTTCAGAGGTGAAGGCCGTGAGGTAGGATTCAAGAAGGGATGAGTAGATTTCGTTCGAGGAGTGGCGCAAGCTGAATCCCAAATTGCGGAGAGCAGATGAAATGGTCAAAAATTTTACTCCAACGCCGTAGATGACAATGTTCGGAATTTCTCATTGAGCTCAAGGTTGTCCGCCAGACTGATCATCGCTCCTACTCACCGACGCATATCAAACCGAAGAAAAGATGTTATGTTCAAAATCATCTATGTGGTATGTACTGTACGTTCCATCTTGATTGAAATACCCGCTGAGTTGATTCCACTCTCTACGCGATCCTGCCTTTCCCAGTCCCCCTTTTTCCAATCGTCGACTACAACGGGGTGCATGACATACATATTATCGATCTCTCCAGTGCTCCCGACAAGTGCCCCAGACTGCTTAGACGTCGTCTTTGCAGTGATGCCCGTCGACATACTCCCAGCCGCTTCCTGCGCCCATCCCATCCCCGCGCGAACATTGATCATCATGCAGGTGATCCCTGATATTGCGGGCCATCCGTTTACGATGAAAAAGAACACGGATTGATGCATTTGATAGGTAACAAAGAATATGAGTGTCCACACTCTGCAAGGACGGTAAGATTCGTGAAACCTTTGGATACGAAGGTATACTTACGTGTAGAGCATAGCCGCTTCGATCACGATTGCCACAACCGCCTGGAAAGCGAGTGTGAGAAGATAGAGGATACCGTTGCGAATCGTAGAACGTACGTTGAGACTGGTCCCTCCGATTTTCCTTGAGGATCTATTAATCTTCCAAATGCGGTAGGCAATTAAAACTAAGAATTTTATCAACGACGGCCATCGACCAGAAGAAACTGAATAACCTGAGCTATAGACGTTGATGCTAGAGTGAGATTAAACGGGTGAGAAAAGATTCAATTCAGGAGGGCAAATCCTTACCAGAAAGTGAATATGCAATCGCTATTAATCCAAATACCGGCCTTCGATTCGTAGATCCCCTCTCCTATCTTCATCTTCGGGAACTGGCAAACCAAGCCTACCCCCGTAACTTCAATTCTCTGCGTCAGGGTTTGCGATCAACTTACAAAAAACAAGATGAACCTACCAGTAAGACCTATCAGACTGAGCAGTGGAATTATAACCACGATTTTGTTGTAATTCCAGACGACCCAAAGTCGATATATCTGCGGGGGGGGGAACAATTTGGATAAGGAATGTGGGAGGATACGAGAATCAGACTCACGATAACAGCATCCCCAATGATAATTGAGGCGGTGAAGACGGACATATACGCAACCATAGTTGCCTGCTTCCAATCCACGTAGAAAATCATTGGGCCTTCCCTAGCTTCCACGGCCTGAAATAATCGGTACGAGACAATACACCAATGCTCCAGATCTTCAATGTCAGCTGTATGAATCGGGAAGAGATCAGGTGTACTCACTGCGGTAATAGTAATAAACATGCAGATGGAAGCAAAAATCAAAGGGGAAAACAAGATAGAAATCTTTGAAGCCTGTGGAGAAGTCTTCCGACTGCGAGTGGTAAGGAGTACCATAGATAGAATGAATAATAGAAAAAATATCCCATAGAGGACGCCTTCGACGCAGACTCCCGCAAGAGCGCCGTCCAGGGGAGAAAATTGAGCCATAGAAGGGAAAGACGGGGAAAGTGATATAAATTGATGGAGAAGTGGTTATAAGTATGTATGTATTTCACGGACTTGCAGACTTGACAACGGAGATATTCTAGTACATTAAGCATGATTTCCGGATGCCATGTGGTGGTGCCGACGCCCCAATCTCCTACGTTTGACTACTTGATAGATGAACTCAGATGAATTTTCGATATGTCATCACCAAGGTAGAACACGTTTAGATGTCTACTACAGATTCATTTGTAGGTAAGATAGTAGAGTAGAGTAGAGTAGATATAAATATTGCAGCTGCAAGATGAATGCCATGGACTTGGCGGCTCTTAGCGGAAGCGATCGCACTCTTGGCAGGTACAAAATGAAATGCAGGCTATTTATGCAATTAATTTGGTCTCCTCTTATTCGAGCAATGTAACAGGCCAGCCTGGCCAGCGAGTCTAACGCTCGAAATAGCTACCTCTGAAAGGGTCTATCATCAAATGAAGACCGCTGGGCCTGGTGTTTCAATGTCCAACAATATAGGCTGTTACTCACCAGCCTGTAGGCTGCGACGTTAGAACTTGAATCCACCAGTTAGTCCCATTATATTCTTGGGATCCACTGCTTGTTTGATCTGCTTCAGCCGAGGAATGTTAGATCCATCCAAACAACAATTTTTTCGGCGTGTCATCAAGAGCGAGATTCGGAAAATGGATATCGTCCCATCGGCTCTGTCCTTGAGAGACAGCAAAGGCCTGTATGGCGTTTGACATCTTCAACAATAGATCACGGAAGTACTCCGCGTCCGCCAAGTTAGCAAAAGTGAGAATAGGATTGGCAGGCGTAACCTGGCGGTTTGGGGAGTGGGGGTAAGCAGAGGGCGTTTCAAAATCAAAGCGCCAACGAATGGCTCGACGCCCAGTATGACTGCAATGATAGAACGGTTGTCCATCAGTGTATACGAATAATGACACACTCCCCAAATCGGGACAGCGACACATAGGGTCATAACGCGACACATACGGTGAATTGCCGACACATTGGTGTGTTCCCAATGTGTTCCTGCTCTTTAGTGTGTCGATTTTACGTGTGTTCGACACATTGAGATGTGTCCAACTTCTCTTTTCTTTTTTTTTACAAGTCCTTCTGTGCCCGGGTAAATGGCAGGATAATATGGAAAAAATATGTATTCCTCATGTACGAGAAAAACAATTACTTATATGGGAAGGTATGCATACTATGTAGAAGTAGGAAGGTAGGAGGAAGGTAGGGACACCACCTGTCCCCTCCAATAATCCCTTGCTAATCTACAATTGGCGATTCCCGCACTGCCCTATCAACGCTGCATGCCCTCTCCCGAATACTAAGTCCTCGGCACCCGCACTCGTTGTCGGTGGATCTGGTTGTTGGCAGGCATTGCGGGTGCTCGTGTTGTGGCTCGCTTCATGGACGTGAATGTGGTGGGGGTACTCGCGTTCGGGCTGGTGTTCGTGTTTGTTCACAGTCGCATTTGGGGGATGGGAACGGGCTGGGGATCGTTGGTGGTGCTCTTGGCCATTCGTTGGTTGTTGTGGGCCGTTTGCCGGGGTTGGTGGTGGGCCCGCGTGGCCGTTCGTTGTGGTGGGCACTCGTCATCGGTCATGGTGATGGGCTATCGTAACCATTCATCGATCCTGGTGGTGGGCCCTCGTCGATCGTGGTGGAGCCCTCGTGGCCGTTCGTAGATCCTGGTGGTGGGCCCTGTGGAGGTTAGTGGAGCCTCGCCGTCGTCCGTCGATCCTGGCGGTTGGTCCTCGTGGCCAATCGTCGACGGTCGTGGTCCGCGCTCGTTGCGTTTCGTGGGGGTAGTGAGAAGAGAAGGGGTAGTGACGTGTGACATCGGGTTCGTCACCCCACCCGATTGGGATGTGTCCAACTGTGTCGCTCGCAAACTGCACACCCTCTCATCCTCGACACCGTGTCGAGGATGAGCCTTATCCCCTTTCGGGGAGTGTGCTGCTGTACGTATATCCTCGTTGTCCATCAGGGCTTGCAGATAGGTGATATTGATTTGGCTCTGAATTTCGTTGACGATGGGGAGGGTGTACTTGATGATCGGTATCATATTCAAGAAACCTCCGGACTTTCTGGTTACATGTTAGTAATAAGGAAGTATTATTGAACTTGGTGAACACTGAATACATACGTTGAGACGATATCAATAGTTGCCAAAAGGTCGGGGAACGTACGAACGCCAACATTACTTGCGAGCGCTGGAATATCTAGGAATGGTTGATAAACGGCCGGTTGGTATCCTCCGTCGTAGAACATGATTTTCAGCCACGCCAGTCAGGACACATTCATGGAATGTTTATAAATGGACTGACCTGACCAACGCCTGTCTGAACATAGTCCGCAACAATTTGAGCTTTACGATGGGTGTTATACAAACTAAAATCTGTCAAAGCTTGGGAGATGATCTCGTCGGAGGGAGCGTAAGTAATCATTCCACCCTAAGATCACTGATATTGCTTGAAAGAAGCCGTCGGGCATGATAAACCAACAAACCCAGACTGCACCCAAGGGACGAGCATACATGGTCATTCCGCTTACGATTCCAAAATTGTTCAGTCTTCCTTTCAGGCCGAAGAGAATTTCTGGGTGGTTAGTGTCACTGACGGTGACAAACGTCCCATTTGGCAAGACTCGGTCAAAGGAAACGACATTGTCAATGCCTAGGCCGTATTGGTCCGCGATCCAGCTGTACCCGCCTCCGAGAATAAGACCGACGCCTGAAAAAGAAATTAGACCACTGATGTATTCAGATATAAAAACTCCTACCAACACCGGTCACGCGGCCGCCAGCGACATTTACGTTGTACGGCTCTAGACCAGCGTAAATTTCATCCCATTTGCATCCGGCCGCAAAAGACACCGTTCCAGAGGGTTTATCGTACACAACTGAAGTGAAGCTTGCCATATCTGGATGCCCTGGGTCGAGCTAAATCCCTGATTGGTGGCATGTCCGCCGCTTCTGCACAGGCTGTCAGTATTAAATAAGTATCGTTTCGGTCGAAAATGGGGAACTGACGGCACGTCGGCAAAAGGTGCACGGATGTCGTCGCGTCCAATTATTTTGATCTGTAATTGTTTGAAGGGTTCAATCTTAGTATCAGCTTCTACATAAAACGTAGGTAGAACAACTCACGACTGCCGAGACATCTTCAACAGAGGACAGGTTGACCGCGCAAGTTGAGCTTTGCTCGGCGACGTCTGTCCACCCAGTGAAGCCCAAGAAAGTGTTGAAATCTAATCAGCAAGCGTAGATTGTTCGCGTGATCAAGAGAAAAGGGGGAATAAGATTCCGGTTGTCTCTGTGAGTGACAGAGGCAAACGGATAGGTACTACATTACAAGTCTCTCCTATATATACTACGAAAAAAAAGGGGATGTACTTACATGAAATGCCCGGAAAAATAGGAAATGTACCTTGATCCGTATCTTGGGCGCATTGCGCATGCTCGCAGCCTCTCACAGCTCCCGGAATTCCAACAGAAACCACCCAGGAGAGAAAGTTTAGGTTGAAGAATAAATTCCTCATTTGTTTGCCGATGTTTGACTGTTATTGGAAATCCGTCTACATCTACTAAAGAACGAGGTCCACTTCAAGCCAACAGATAACGTTTAGAATATCCTTGGAATATCCCCGGCGTTCCTCCGCACTACTTACTTCGAAATCCGTTGCGGGTTTTAGGTAGGCGTCGTGAGACAGAGACAGAAGACGAATGCCACGTGGTCTGTAAAAAATCCATTCCGGTAAATACTAAAAATATCTTACTTTTTGCTTACTTTAATCATGAACCCGAACTTCCTGGACCTAACACATATGTTCAAACTCTGGCTGGAGCCTGGACCGAACCGCACCACCGGCCACCACTCAGTACTCAAAAGTACTCGACGTTCAACGTTCAACCTCCACCAGCCTTGAAGGTTTTCGGGCGATACGCAAAATCTTATCCTGGATTTGAACTTTGACTCGGCGCCTATCCTGGCGCTTGAACAGGGATCATCTGAGCATCTAGATAATTCGGTATGCCCATGTGCAGGAACCAGGAACGCCCTCCAGGCAAGATAGCTTAACCTGCTGGATATCGTCTTCAATACCCTCGATTGCCATGGCGTCCTCAAGTGCAGGCCCTCCAAACCCAATCCCTGACGTTTCCCAATTCCAAGAGTCTCAGCCCATCATTGACGAGGATTTCAACCCATACCATTCTGCACATATAGAGGCTGGTGTGAACTGGACTACTGATAAAGCAGAATACGTGAGTGCACATTATCTATCGCCAGTTTCATCTGTTTGAGGACTAGCCCTAGCCACCAACGCCCTTCCTACCCTACTACCCCCGAAACACAGGCCAAGCAGAGCCATTTCTCCATGGCGCTACACGCCACATGCCTCAGGATGGCAAGTACCTGGGCTTGGCGTGTCTATACCTGATGAGCTGTGTCGCGGTCGTTTGGTGGATGATGATCGGCGGACCGAAGCTAGTCCCACACCAGGATACGCGCATCACCAACATCATCATATCCATCGCGTCAAAGGGTGCGCTCGGACTCGGACTCTGGATTGTGACGTTGCGTCTGCGTGTGCAGTGGACGCACATATTGGTTTCAGAAGAGCGCGTGCAGCTCCGCTCTTTACTCGCCGCATGCGGCAAGGAGGGAAGTTTCTCGCGCATTCGCCACATCCACACTTCACCCACGCGCGGGATAGCGCTTACTGCTGCGATTGGTGCAGTCGTGACTATTCTCATGACGTCGACATCTGCTGGATTCAAGTATATTGTTCTACCGGGAACCGCTATCCAGGAATATTCAGGCCCCGATTTCGTGTCCATATGTAACTATTCGCTGTTGAATTCCACTACGGGTTATTTCTGCACTGGCACCGCCAATGCTGTGACCGTAAACACAGAATGGAATTACATTGACCTCGTCAGCAGCGGAGATGGAGGCAATGTAGTACGCTCCAACAGAACCTCAAGCACCATGTCTGCAAACGTGACACTCACATCCGCCCCCGCCAACTTACGCCTTCCCACTAATCCAACCCCACCATGGGCGGCGATCGATGTGAGTTGTAGAAACGTCGCGCTATCATTGTCAGTGCTTGGTAATGGCTCTTCAACCACCAATGTCCTGTTCGTCGACAACCGGCAATTGGACACACTCACAGTCGCTGAAATGCCATCGTGGTCTTCTCAGGTGCAGCTGTATCAACAAGTCAATGACACAGGACCGGCTAGCAGCCTCTGCCCCTGGTACATAGTGATGCTCGCGAGGGACCTGGACGATGGCGGCGCAAACATGCAGGGGTTGTCCGGAAGCGCCGTCACCTATCTTGGCAACTCATTCCTCGATCTGCATGGTTACAGTGCCCCAGTTCTCCAAGGTATCCTGGGGGCAGCTGCCTACTGCAACTTCTCTGGGTCAACGGGAGGCACCTGGCCTTCTGTAACGTGGCCTGCTCGCACGACGGCCAATGTCGTGATAGGCAAGGGACCATACAACGGTGTCATCGATATCAGCACAGTTTTCTTGAATTATGGACCCTCATGGCAATACAATCCCGTTTCCGCCAACTCGCTCCCTGGAGGCTCAGTTTCCTATATCGCGAATGTGACCACAGCGGCGGATAATTTCGGGGACTTCATCGCCATGTACATGCGGAACCAGTGGGCGCTGATGATGTACACAAATAATTTCATTGGAGGATTCGTCACCAATACTCCGTACCGCATCAAGACACAACCGCAACTGTATATCCAGGCGACAAAGATACTTGTCGCGCCTGCTTTGGCATTGGGTGTGTGTGTTCTTTGTGCATTTGTTTGCATGTCTACAATGTTGACGTTGGGAGCTCGGTATGACCTCGTGGATATAGCTCCGTGGTGGTTGATGAAGGCAACTGGTGTGGCTCACGGTATGGAACTTGGACGCGAAACGAACAAATTGGCGTTTGAGACTTGGTCTAATACTGTAGGATGTGTGTACGATGGGGTGTCTGATGCTGGGACTAGACAGTTGAGGGTCACGCCACGTCCGCTGTCTGAGTAGATCGACTACGGTGAATGTCCTTTTGTCCTTCTCATGAACTTCACCTTCCTTTTCCACTTGTCTCTACCTCTTTGTACCTCTATGCCAATTATTTCTACTAGTTCTATGTCGACCTCCGTACCTCCCCCTCCATTCTTCATGTTTAATTGCCATATAACATTGTATGAGTCATGTCTGTGGAAGCAATGAATCTGATCTGCATAAGTATCTGCTGGTACACTGATTTAGCCGAAAGTTATTCAACTTGAGTGAATGGTATTTTACATCGATTGCCACGTATTTTTCCCTCATATACCTAGTTTTCTACTAGGTCATTTTAATTTGCTGAAAAGGATTGAAACGCAAAGAAGTGTGGAGATCCTATTTGCCACTTAGGCCTTTCGCGAATATAATCAGTGAATCCACAAGGATAACCATGAGATTTAGAAAGAGGAAGATACAACAAGTGCTCATAAATTACTCCAACGCCTCCTCTGGTCTAGAAAACCAAGATCAACACCAGAAGCAACACCAGCACAAAAAAGAAGAAGAAAATCCTCGCTCTCACATGTCCAACTGACTCACACCACACTCAAGCCACCCCTTATCCAACCCCGCCCACGCCTCATCAAGCCCCTCCCTCACCCTCCACCCATCCCCACCCAGCCATTCTTTCACCCTCGCCTCGTCCCTTTCATCACCCTCTGCATCATCCAACACCCCTTCCCCTGCTGCACCATCACCCCATTGCCCCAAGACGCTCCATCCGACAACGATCATCCCCGGGGGGCGCTGTGGTCCCCCTGCCTCGAGGGCTTGTACGATAGTTGACAGAGTACCGCTTGTGACGCGTTGATCGGGCATTGATGCGCGTTCGATGATGGCGATGGGGAGGTAGGGAGGGTAGTGAGTTGGGGTTACTGTGGTTGTTGTGGTGGTGGCAGTGGAAGATGTAGATGTAGATGTGTTGGACGCAGAAGCAGGAACAGGCCCAGTCAACGAAGAAACACCCAAAAGCGCATCAACAACCCTTTGCAACCTCGCAACGCCCATCAAAATAACCAACGTTCTCCCCCGTTCATACTCCGGCATCTGCACCCCCCTCCCACCCCTCCCCACACCAGTGCACACAACCACGCTCTCGGCTACACCGCGGTGCGTGAGCGGGATACCACCGAACGTCGGCCCGGCCAAGGCGGAGGAGATGCCTGGGACTACGAGGGGCTCGTACCCTCGCGCACGGAAGAAGAGTACTTCTTCAGAGGAGCGGGCGTATATTGAGGGATCGCCTTGTTTGAGCTTCATAGTGGGAGGTGTAAGTTCGTGACAAGACAAGGATTTAAGAGGGAAACAACATACGCGAACGACGCACAGCCCCTTTTGCGCGCCTTGCACGGCGAGGTGCATCATTTCTTCCTGGCTTTTATCCGCATTCCCGGGAAACTTCTTCGCGATGACGAGTTCTGTCTTGCTGGGTATGAGGTCTAGCACGCCCTGCGGTACGAGTTTGTCCGCTAACACGAGGTCCGCGTGCGTAGTGAGGATTTGGTGTGTGAGGAGGGTGAGGAGGACGGGGTGTCCGGGCCCAGAGCCAAGGAGGACGATGCGCCCCGGTTTGGGGGTGGGCGAAAGGGAGTGGATGGTTGGTGGATTCAGGGGTTTGTCCGCCGTCAGCTCGAGCATCTCTTCGTCTGATAGGGTGGCTAGTTTGGAGAGGGGCCAATACTCGCTCACTTGGGCGACCCATTTCAAGCGTTGTCGAGTTGGTTCTTCGACGGGGCGGTTGGGAGTAAGCACACCGCTGTCCTCCGCGGACACTTCGTCCGCATCGGTGTCGTCTATCGCCTTGGATTTAGCTAACCTTCTCATCCGCCCTACGCTCTGCACCGCACACCCCACGTCTTTGGGTAACTTCGCCACCACCTCCCTCGTAATCCTCGACGCTAATCGACACCCTTCCCCATTAGTTGTCACGCCCACTTGCAAAGGCGTAGGTTCTCCCGTCGTCGGGTCCAAAAACCGATGAGAGGCAGTGAACGAAAAGTTGCAGAGATCGGGAGTGTCAGTCGTATTTACCGGTATACGGTGTTTTTGCAGAAGGGTGTATAGTTCCTCTGTAGATGCCCTAGACCTGAGGGGCGAGCCTAGGAGTGTATCCGTGATACATGCCAATGCGATGTCTGTACGTCCCGTAAGCCAAGCGTCCAGATCAACGAGCTGGTCCCAGTCTATAAACTCCAGTTGGCGTTCCCGGACGCGCCATTGAATTTCCTCGCATGCTGAACGCAAGCCGCCCTTTGCGAGTATATATACATGTGCAGCGTCAGCTTCGAGCGCCGCGAATGCCCGCGATGCAGCTAATGGTCCCGATCCTATGATAAGGACTCCCCTCGTTGCAAGGCGGAACGAAAGAATGAGGGAGGCGCCCGTACGTGGGTTGGGGAACATCGGAGGTGGCTATATGCGCACAATATCAGTAGTCCAAAGATAAGAAAACGAGAAATGCGGCGTGGGGAACATTGGAGGTCGTTATCTCTGCGCGGCTACAGAAATTTGTCAACGACGTGCTCATGAGCAATTGAAGAGATTCAAAGTCCGACGGACATGATGGTCGTCGACAACGACGTTGTACGCCGTTTTCTCGCTCTATTGGTTCAATCATTCAACGCTGTCGTAGTTTCTCAAACATTTGTCAGAGCTATTCGAGGCCTCGAAGGAACATGGATCGATATGGCTAACTCATAAACGACGTTTGTCTCTTCTCTCCATTTTTTGATTCATCTCGTCCTGATAGTACACAGTGACACACGACACTACCACAAACGACGACGGTGAATACCCCGTCCTCCTGCGCGTAAACCACGGCGGCGCGAAAGAGTCCAAGATATCCACTATCGTACGGCCTTTCTGATCACCACCAACTGTCCTTACTAAATCAATTTGCAGATAAGCCCAGGTGCCCTCCCAGCCTTCCATGCGCACTATGCGGTTTTGCTTAAGGCCCACCTAACCCCTCTCCTCCGGAAACGCGACAAGAAGAGGGAAAAGGTCAAATCAGACCTGGCCACAAAGCGGAAGAAGCGCATGACGGAGCCTATCGTTGTAGAAGGCCCGAAGAGGGGGAATGGGAGACGAAAGAGGCAAAGGCTGGTGAAGGCGGTGAAGAAGCAGGAGTCGAGTCAGAAGGCAGCGGCGGCGAGGACGGAGGAGGAGGAGAAAAGGAAGAGAGAGCGTGTATAATTCACACATCGCTGCCAAGTCTGCTGAACATGACTCTGCAAATTTCGTTTTAGCTAGCTAACATACGTTCAAAAATTCTCCGGTGATATCAAATCTTCACGACTACAGAATCATTCAATCTTTGTCCACAAGGTCCTCCTGGTTGCCAAACTTGCTAAGCCAAGCCTTCACACCTCCCTCCAAAAAGTAGGCGGTCGAATTTGTCCGATCTCCCTTCGCATCCAGGTAATCCTGGTACCTATACGCAAGGACATAAATATAAGAAACCCAACTGGAAAGCCATAATCGCACCATCCACCACACCGAGGCCCGCGTCCCACACAGCTATTGCAGTAAAAAACAACTTTCTCGGTATCCTTAAACTTCTCATAAAACGCAGGAAGGTCATCATAGAACGTGTGCGCTGGCCACTGATGACTTCCACGAACGTGGCCGCCCTGGTGAAAGTTTTCGGGATCATCATATCAAGGGGAAAAAAAGGAGACGAAAAACTTGACTTACTCCGTGATCATTTCGTCGGACGTCGATAACGGCATAATCAGATTCAGTCTTGGTCTTGTCCCGAATCAGGGCAGCAACATCGTCAGCTGTTATTGGCAGAGGCGAAGATTTGACCGTCGGATACGCGTCCCACCATCTAAGCAGAACGGACGGAACACGTTGTATCGGGACACCGTCGCTCTCCGGCTTCATCGCATAAATTTGGTATGACGCTTCATGAAGTTAATGAAGAAGGTCAGAAGTTGAATGAAAATAAAATAAAATTGGGGATTGCCCGAGTCTTACCTGCCCATTTATTGACATTAAAATCAAGTCGTTTCGGAGGGTGCGTGGTGGAGCAGCAGCTCTTCGACTCCGAGTCTGATTGAAAATAGACGTTGAGGTCGCTCTTCGTATCAACAAAAAGGACGTCTATAGTACATCAACATCGATCCAGCGGAGGAAGATTGAATCCATACCTGTGAATCCGGACTCAAGGAATAACTGCTTATACTCATGCACCTGAATAGCACCCGATATACAAGCAACATAAGCATTGAGATCTTGCTTAATTTCATCAGGAAGGGTATCCCGCGCGAGAATCTATACGAAAAAAGCTACCGTCAGATTTCACAGCAAAATCAAAATCAAAAGAAACAGAGCAGCGACAAACATCATCAAGGACGATCCGCCCACCAGGCCTCAGCACACGATAAACCTCTTTCAACAGATTGACTTTCCCGGCAGGTTGTAACAAATTGACAACACAGTTCGATAAAATACAATCAATAGAACCAGGTTCAACGGGAAACGCCGCTTTATCCAAGGACGCTTGCACAAACGCCACGTGCGGAGGTTTGAGGTTCTGTTTTGCGGCGTTGCGGCGGGCGAGGTCGATCATTTCCTAGTACGCGTTTGAAAAAAAAAATCATCAAAGCCTGCCCGGTGTCACATAAAAAATTTATAGAGAGGGGAACATACAGAGGACATGTCCAACCCGACCACCTGGCCCGTCGGTCCCACCTTCGCCGCAGCTAGAAAAACGTCGAACCCACCTCCTGAACCTAGATCTACAACGTACTCGCCCTAAAAAAATCATTTCGTTGTATACAGGACATGATGGGGGGTTTCCGGTTGACTGACCTCCTTGATATTCGCAGTGGCTACAGGGTTCCCGCAGCTCAGACCCATATTAGCTTCAGGAGGTATAGACGATAGTTCTTTTTCGGTGTACCCGAAAGCTTTAGCGACGTTTGCTGCGTCTATTTATTTCGATGAAGTTATGAGTGCAATGACTTGAGTTAAGTATTCGGATCAAGCTCTTACAACTTACAAGTGGGATCTGCACCGGCTTTTGCTTTCGCGCTATAGGCATTGTTAACGGCTTCCGTGATGACGGCGTCAGACAAAGGTAAGCGAGGTTGGCTGAGGCTACAGAACATGGTGGTTGTGTAACATGTAAGTACTGGTTGATGACGTTATAAGTGTGTTGAATTTGAATTTGAATTTGAATTTGAATTGAGGGGGGTTGACTTTTCGGATTGTTCGGCTGGTGCCCCCTTTCTGCCTAAAAATAAGGCGGCTTGGACTTTGAGGAATCTCAAAAGTGATGCATTGATGTGACATCAGTCAGTCACGGACCACAATTCGTCGCACAGGTTCAAACGTGGTTGGACGGAACCACACCATTGACCAGTCTACTTGGTGCGCTTTCAACTCGACCTCCGCCTAGAATTTTGAACAACTCGTACAAAGTTTCAAGATTTTCAGAGAATAAGCAAAAGCGGGAAAGAATCCTATGCTGTTGAACTGTGACTCGGCGCCTACCCTGGCGCTTAAACATGGATCATGGGAGCATCTACAGAATTCAGTATGTCCCATGCAAGAACCAAGAACGCCCTCCAGATAGCTTAATCTACTGGATATCGTCTTCAATACCCTCGATTGCATGGCGTCCTCCAGTGCAGGCCCTCCAAACCCAATCCCTAACGTTTCCCGATTCCAAGAGTCTCAGCCGATCAGCGACGGAGATTTCAACTCATACCATCCTACAGATATAGCGGCTGATGTGAATTTGACCATTGGTCAAGCAGGATACGTGTGTGCACATTGTCTATCGCCAGTTTAGTCAGTTTGAGAACTAGTCTTAGCCACCGTCGCCCTTCCTACCCTACTACCCCGGCCAAGCTGAGCCATTACAAAATCGCATGTACGGCGCTACATACCACATGCCTCAGGATGGCAAGTACTTGGGCTTGGCGTGTCTATACTTGATCAGCTGTGTCGTGGTCGTTTCTTGGATGATGATCAGCGGACCGATGGCAGTCCCACGCCAGGATACGCGCATCACCAACATCATCATATCCATCGCGTCAAAGGGTGCGCTCGGGCTCGGGCTCTGGATTGTGACGTTGCGCCTGCGCGTGCAGTGGACGCACATATTGGTTTCAGAAGAGCGCGTGCAGCTCCGCTCTTTACTCGCCGCATGCGGCAAGGAGGGAAGTTTCTCGCGCATTCGCCACATCCACACTTCACCCACGCGCGGGATAGCGCTTACTGCTGCGATTGGTGCAGTCGTGACTATTCTCATGACGTCGACATCTGCTGGATTCAAGTATATTGTTCTACCGGGAACCGCTATCCAGGAATATTCAGGCCCCGATTTCGTGTCCATATGTAACTATTCGCTGTTGAATTCCACTACGGGTTATTTCTGCACTGGCACCGCCAATGCTGTGACCGTAAACACAGAATGGAATTACATTGACCTCGTCAGCAGCGGAGATGGAGGCAATGTAGTACGCTCCAACAGAACCTCAAGCACCATGTCTGCAAACGTGACACTCACATCCGCCCCCGCCAACTTACGCCTTCCCACTAATCCAACCCCACCATGGGCGGCGATCGATGTTAGTTGCAGGAACGTCGTGCTGTCATTGTCAGTGGTTGGTAATGGCTCTTCAACCACCAATGTCCTGCTCGTCGACAACCGGCAATCGGACACACTCACCGTCGCTGAAATGCCATCGTGGTCTTCTCAGGTGCAACTGTACCACCAAGTCAATGAAACAGGTCCGGTTAGCAGTCTCAGCCCCTGGTACATGGTGATGCTCGCGAGGGACCTGGACGATGGCGGCGCAAACATGCAGGGGTTGTCCGGAAGCGCTGTCACCTATCTTGGCAACTCATTCCTCGATCTGCATGGTTACAGTGCCCCAGTTCTCCAAGGTATCCTGGGGGCAGCTGCCTACTGCAACTTCTCTGGGTCAACGGGAGGCACCTGGCCTTCTGTTACGTGGCCTGCTCCCACGACGACAAATGTCATCCTCGGCAAGGGACCATACGACGGTGACATCGATATCAGCACAGCTTTCTTGAATTATGGACCCTCCTGGCAATATAATCCCGTTTCAGGCAATTCGCTCCCTGGAGGCTCAGTTTCCTATATCGCGAATGTGACCACAGAGGTGGATAATTTCGCGGACTACATCGCCATGTACATGCGGAACCAGTGGGCGCTGATGATGTACACAAATAACTTCATTCGAGGGTTCGTCACCAATACGCCGTACCGCATCAAGACACAACCGCAACTGTATATCCAGGCGACAACCATACTTATCGCGCCTGCTTCGGCCCTGGGTGTGTGCGTTCTTTGTGCATTTATTTGCATGTTTACAATGTCGAGGTTGGGACTTTGGTATGGCCTCGTGGATATAGCTCCGTGGTGGTTGATGAAGGCAACTGGTGTGGCTTGTGGTAGGGGACTTGGACACGAAACGAAGAAATCGGAGTTTGAGACTTGGTCTAATGACGTGAAATGTGTTTACTATAAGGGGTCTGACGCTGGGACTAGACAGTTGACGCTCCTTTAGTCCTTCTTGTGAATTTCACCTTCAACACATATGCTTCTTGTTGTACTTTCATGCCAACTATTTCTACTTACTAGTTCTATGCCGAACTCTGTTATTACCTCCCCCTCCATTCTTCATATCAACTTCATATTTACTTTGCCGTATAACATTGTCTAGTCATAACTATGGAGACAATAAATCTGATCCGTATAAGTATCTGCTGGTAAACCGATGTAGCGAAGGTTATTCATCTTGAAAGAATTGATTTCAGTCTGCTCCACTGACGATCAAAAGGCCCGGTGTCTTATAAAAAAATTTAGAAAGAGGGGAACGTACAGAGGACATGTCCAACCCGACCACCTTGCCTGTTGGTCCCACCTTCGACGCGGCTAGAAAAATGTCCTTGGTATTCGCAGTTGCGACAGGGTTCCCGCAGCTCAGAACCATTTAGCCTCACGAGGTATCGACGAGACTTCTACTTAAGTGTATCCGAAGGCTTTAGCGACGTTTACTGCATCTAAATTCGAGACTCGGATTGGCAACTTGAAGCTCTTACAAGCGGGATCTACACTGGCTTTTGCTTTTGCGCTATACGCATTGTCAATGGCTTCCGTGATGACAGCGTCAGACAAAGGTATCCACTCTTGAGCCTCGGATGGAGGTTGGGTGAAGCTACAGGACACGGCTGGTAGATGATCGTTGTGTTGAATTTGAAAATGAATTGATGACCTATGAAAACCCTCCGACGTAACTCCGATCGAGTGACTACTCGCCAGAGCATCGGTTTTAGGTACAGTACGTATACACGTACGAGTCAGGCTAGGATTGAAGCTCCCCATGCCTTCCCCTAGTCACTGACCTTCTACACATTTTATAAAATAGAACCATGGCCACTTCGAGAAATCACATTGCCGTATTTTTGCCCACACCCCACCAACCGAGACCTGCAACTCCCCCCGCCAAGATGGCCACAGGGGGTGAAACGGAGAACCATTCTACAGAGGAGAAAGAGCCAGAAGCCACCACCAACCACCACGGGTCCTGTCCCAAGCTAATACCCTTGCTATTCTCCGCGGAAAGATAACCAATCTCCCAAAGGCGGTAAACAGCCGTGAATACAAAACCCACCGCTACAGCGTTGACGCCGCGCAAAAAGCACATTACCTCCCGCGTTTCCGCAGAGGCCTCCAGATACTTTGGAAGCCGACCAAAATCCAAAGCCCGGGCGTGAAGATGCCCAAGCTAGCGAGGATCGCACCGTTCACGGATGGAATAGAATGGGAAGAAGGGGAGCGTGCAACGGTCATCGCGCCGAGATATACCGCAAATTTGAAGTTGGGCCCAGGCATCGTCTGTATAATTGCAAGACCAAGCAAGAAATCGCGTGATGAGACCCATCCTGGTTCCACAACATAATCCCGAAGGAGGGGAATGACCACCGGCCCACCACCAAAGATGATCGTGCCCGCGAGGAACATATTGTTGAAGAGCGATACGAGGGTGGGAATGGTATGCAACGCTCCCCGTGCAGTCATCAAGGCTGTGAAGACGACAAAGAATGTGATAATGATCGCTATCCCCAACTTGACAGAGATAGCATGAGGGGGGATTTCGTCGGATGAGGGCCGGAGGGTTTGGTCGACCACTGGATGGGTCAAGGTGGTAACATCACTCGTTGACTTTGGTACCAGGCTGGATTGACTCATATGATGGGAGCCGTCAACATGTGTGCGCCCTAGGGCCTCATCCTGTGGCGAAGGCGTCATTTCAACTTCCGGTGGGGAACATCTGAAGCTTTCCTGCGTCGTCTAATTTGCAATGCTCCGAACCACAGTTGAGGAACACAATCCCACGCAACTGCCACGATACCGCCCAACAAGAGAAGCACCGGGAGGTACCAGATAGCATCATAACAAAGTGCCGAACATCCCCCAAGAAAGACCAAAATTCGTGTCAACTTGTCCGTAACTGCCTTTCTGGCCAACTGGACAGCAGCAAGGGCGATGATTCCGAAAACGGCCGCATTGATACCAGATAGCAACGCGTACACAGGATCCGGTAGGGTATCGTTGATCCTCTTAACGCCGAGGGAGAGTCCGTACATTGCTACGGCTCCGGGGAGTGTCCAGAGAAGGAAGGCGAAGAAAGCGGGTATGAGCCCTGCGTGTATCTGGGCGATGGCGAAGAGCATCTTCATGAAGGCAGGGCCGGGTAAGGCTTGAGATATAGCGAAGAGTTCCTGATACTAAAACGTGGATAACTGTCAGAGAAAAAGTGAGTTGTGATAGTTGACTTAAACGTTACAGTCTGTTCATCGACCCAAGGAGTTTTACCAAGACCATCGACAAACCTGCGGTGAAAAATCTGGAAATGAACTGGTGGGCCACCAAAGCAGGTGAAGCCAAGGTCGTATGTGCGTCCGAAGACATCCCACAAACGCGCTCCAAGCCCGGAAGTATTGGCCTGGTAAGGAAGGCGTTCTGCTCGGAGTACGCCCGTAGTTTCCTGTAGGCCAGAGTCTACGTCGGTGTGGAGAGGCATTACATTCTCTCAAGTCAAGAAGGTCAAACCGATGAGAGTCAAGCGGAACGCGCCTTCCCGTAAATCAAGGTTCTGGTCGCTATCGATACACCATACGTCGCACGCACAAAGTCGCCATTCTCAAGATGAATATGCCATTCCCAGGGGACCCTGTTACAGATCAAAGTTCGGTTCACGACATCTTTGTCGCAGAAGGGTATGCGTTCTCAATCGTTGAGCGTAGATTGGAGTACGAGAAAAGATTGTAATTTGAATTGAATTCGACTGGTTGTTCGCCGGCGCTTGTATACAAAGGAGAGATATGGATTCAGTTATTGAAGACATCACTTCCGATGACACTAACGCTTGACTGCACCCCACCAGCCGAGACCTGCGACGCCCCCAGCTAAGATAGCCAGGGGAGGCGGGACGGAGAACCATTCGACAGAGGAAAATGTGCAAGCAGCCACCACTAGCCACCATGGGTCATTTCCTAAGCTGATACCTTGGCTGTCCTGAGCAGTAAGGTACCCAACCTCCCAAAGGCGGTAGACAGCCGTAAAGACTAAACCCACTGCGGTAGCGTTAATGCCCCGCAGAAGACATGTGACTTCTCTACGTTTTCGCAAAGACCTCCAGATAGCCTGGAAGCCAACCGAAATCCAAAGCCCTGGGGCAAAGATGCCCAAGCTGGCGAGGATCGCACCGATCACGGTGGGAATGGAATGAGAAGAGGCAGGGCCAGCGACAGTCATTGCACCTAGATAGACAGCAAAGTTGAAGTTGGGCCCGGGCATGGCCTGTATGATCGCAAGGCCGAGCAAGAAATTGCGCGGTGAGACCCATCCCGGCTGCACAACATAATCTCGAAGGAGGGGAATCACCACTGGTCCGCCACCAAAAATGATCGTGCCCGCTAGAAACATGCTGTTGAAAAGCGAGAAGAGGATGGGGACATGATGTAAAACTCCCCGTAACACCATCAAAACGGTGAAGAAAGCGAAGAAAGAAACGATGATCGCTATCCCTAATTTGACGGAGATGGTATGTGGGGCGGCTCCGTTGGTAGAGGGCGGGGTTACTTGATTATCCAAGTTTGTTGGAGGTACGACAGTAGCGACGACATCCGTCGATGTTGTTACATGTTGCCTGCGATGTGGCCCATCTAGGCGTTCTGAAACCACCTGAGATGAGGGAGCCATTTCAATTTCCGATGTGGCCTCGGGAGCATCCGAGATCCTGCGCCGTCGAACCCGCAACTCCCTGAGCCATGGCTGCAAAACGCAATCCCATGTCACTGTTACAAGCCCGCCTAAAACAATAAGCATCGGGAGATACCAGAGGGCATTGTAACAAAGCGCCGCACACCCTCCAAGAAGGACCAAAATCCTTGTAACCTTATCTGTGATTGCCTTCCTAGCCAGCTGAACAGCGGCGAGGGCGATGATTCCGACAATGGCTGCGTTGACACCGGATAGCAACGCATACACTGGATCTGGTAGGGTATTATTGATCCTCTGAACGCCGAGGGAGAGTCCGTACATTGCGATGGCTCCGGGTAGGGACCAAAGAAGAAAGACGAAGAAAGCAGGTACGATCCCTGCATGTAATTGGGCAATGGCGAAAAGCATCTTGGTGGAGGCGGGACCGGGTAAAGCTTGCGATACAGCGAAGAGTTCCTGATACTGAAAAGCAGATAGTTGTCAGTGAAAAAGCTGATTTGTGATAGTTAATTTGAACGTTACAGTTTGCTCATCGATCCACGGAGTTTTACCTAGACCATCGACGAATTTGCGGTGGAAAATCTGGAAATGGACTGGTGGGCCACCAAAGCAGGTGAAGCCGAGATCGTATGTGCGCTCGAAGACGTCCCAAAGACGTGACCCAAGCTTTGAAGTGTTGACCCCGTCAGGACTACGTTCATCTGAAGAATCACCGGCTGTGTTTCGCCGCAAGAATGAATGAATGAGGGCGTTGAGAGACATAGCATCAATCGAACGAACGAAGGGAAGTCAAGATTTGGAGCTTGGGGCTTGGGATGAACGTTGTGTCGAGCCAAGGCCCAGGTCCCAGGATTTTGAAAATCACCACGTGCGTGACTTTCACGCAAATCTTGGCGGTAAAGACGTAATTTTCTATTCCAGTGTACCTGGTATGTAGTACTATGTATTATTATGCAGTCCACAGTCATACAAGAGTAGTCCGCACAGCCATTTTTTCGGAACCATGAGTAAAATATCAAAAAAAGATGGGAAGACATAGGGTGGACATTGCCCGGATAAGTATTTCTTCCACCAAGCGGGGAGGCTTCCGCGCCTGGACGAAACTGATTCAGGGAACTTGTATGTAGTATGGCCTGAAGAGGTATATATACAATAAAGCCCAGCCCTGCATGTCTTAATTCTGACAACAAAAACGGAAGCATCATAGGTAAACGCACGTTGAGCATCAAGGGAATATACACTGAACTCCGCTTTTCGAATTTCTGGTCACCTAGTGAACTCGTGATTTCGAAGTTCTCTATTAAACTGACAGTTCCACGCCGAAAAGTTTTCTTTCACGAAGCCTTCCTGTTTCTCATTTGAAAGGTCTTCCAATGACCTACCCTTGGTCTCAGGTAAAATGAGAGTTGATAGTATCCCTGTTAGCATGAAGAAAGCGAAGATTTTCAAGCTGAAACGTGAGCGTCAGCACGAGCCGTGGGTAGGGAATGGAAGCACCTACATGTGCTTGACAAACGAATTGGGACCGCCGATATCTTTGAGTTGAGCAAAACCCACTTGAGCGATGATAGCGCCAAGTTTGCCGCTTGCTGCGGAAATTCCATGGGCGGTGGACCGATAGCGTGTAGGAAAAACTTCCCCCGGGATGATGAAAGTGGTAGTGTTGGGGCCAAAGTTTTGAAAAAAATTGGCAAGACAGTAGAGGACGACAAATACTTTGGTTGCGGAGGTTGTCGCTGTAAGATATTCATAGCAGAAACCTATGGAGCAATGAAGACCATGTCAACCAAAAACGGAAAATACAAATAGGGAGATCGCACCCATGATAGTGAGAATAATGGTAAGCATGGCGAAACCCAGAAGTTGGATTGGTTTACGACCCCATTTGTCAATGAAAAAGAATGATGCCCAGTAACCGGGAATTAGTCCAGCCACGGAGAGAATTAGGTTGCCAACACAGATATTCTTCAAGTTTTGGTAAACACCAGGAACACCTTGCGTCACTGGGGTACCGAAACCAATGGCTTGTAAAATGATACCGGAATTGAGACCCAAGCCATAAAAAGCAATCTAAACAAAGAATACGGTATTGCAGCCACGAAGGTCGAGAAATTAAATTAGGCTTACATCGAGAGCGAACCACGAGTAAGCAGCTCCAAAAAGGACTTGGAAGTTGGAACGTTGGCTAAAATGAGCAATAAAATCTGACCAGGTTCCCCTCGGGGTCTCAATGCGGATAATATTTTGCTCCTCGGGCGGAGGATTATTTGTGTCCAAGATAGTCTCGATGTCAGCGGAGGCTTGATTGATGTTGCGTTCAATGTCCATGGTAAAACGAGGAGTTTCTGGGATAGTAAGACGAAAATAAAGAGCGATGACCCCTGGTACACAGCCAAGGCCAATGAGGATTCGCCACATGTAATCAATAGATGCAAGATTCGTCATGGCAGATTCACGGAGAATGGTGGTCTTGAAAGCAGCAGTGATGATAAACCCAGTGAGGGCAGCAGCTTACGATCATTTCAGGACTGTAAGGGTAACGAACGAAACAAAGAAACTCACTAAAATTTCCCCATCCCTGAGCCGCAAAGACGACGGTCATCATACGACCACGAATTTTCGCGGGCGCAAACTCCGACGTTATTATCGCGCTAAGTGGGTAATCGCCACCAATGGCGACCCCCATCTACAAGAAATCGAGTCAAAACAACGTATATGATTAATAAAAAAAGACACAAACGATGAAACGCCACATGGTGAGAGCGGCAATGATTGAGATGGCGGTAGAGCTCCCAGAGACGGCTTGAGCAAAAGTGGCGAATATCATCATTGACAGTTCCAAGCCGTCTAGAGTCGGAGGATGAATTAACTTGACATGGATCAGAAAGAAATGCTAGGAACTCACACATCCGTTTACGACCAAGGGTATCGGCCAACCAACCAAAGAGGAGCTGACCAAAAAGACTTCCAACTGGGCCCGCAACCTTTACACAGAGATCCTGATTCCTGTTGAGCTTTTGCTCTGCGGCAATGAGATGAGCAACATAGGGGAGGTATTTCGGCAGGAACTTAATCGTACCGCTTCCATAGACGTAGCCCAACATCGTGGAAGCGATGTTGATCGCGAAAAGGTCGTATCTGGAGGTGGGATGAGCACCTTCGACCGCACTCTTTCGAATCTGACGCACGCATCAGTGAAAAAGCCAACACCAGCTGCACAGCACACTTTGGCGTGGAACCATCTCCACAAAGGATCGTCAGCGGCGATTAAGGATATCTGTAGAGGACGAATCTTACGAGAACTTGGCAGAATCAGCCTTCGCTAGTGCAGCACGGCGTCGCTCGTCCAAGAAGAGTCCCGCTTCAGCTGGGCGTCCTATAAACTTGTCTTCCCTTGATTCGAGCTCGTAGAAGCTGGACATATAGTGGGAGTAGAAGAGAGCCCAGGACCGTCAGCTCCCACCTACTTAACGTGGTATGTTTGACAACTTGGCGTATTGGGGCACCAGTGCACTAACGCCGTTTTGTTAGTATAAGGTCATACTCACGGCGAAAGGCACTCACACGCTGTCACCCATCAATATAGTCGATTGTGGATGTCCGGACCAAGACCGGTTGGCCGGGCCTGTGCCTGACTACATACCCTAAATGTTAAATTTATGAGCGCACTTGGTAGAAATAACGAACGTTCTTACAGGCAGCCACTCATATCGCTCGTTGCATATTATGGTTATGGTTATCGGGACAGTTTGTTTGGCACTCCCACACAAAAACAAATATCTGCTGTATTTGAAGCGCCGCCTCAACGTTCAACGCCGGGAGCTAACCGCTAAACCGTTACAGCTAACGAGGTATCGATAGACCAGATTCCAAAACGCGCCGCTTAGTGATTTTATTTACTTTTGGAGCTGTCCAAACAACTACGGCCAGCCATTTGGCGGGCATTGCTTCCCACCCCTTCTCGCTTGCTGCGTACATAGTCATAGATTCCCAGTAAGGTTGTTTGCACATACCCTGAGGCTCCACAAGTAAACAGAATCATTAAGTGGAGCGTTTCAAAATTTAGTCTATCGATACCTTGTTAGCTGTAACGGACCCTTCTCCATTGAACAGCGTGAAAAATGACTGAAGACCGGAATACTGAGAAGGAGACTTTGAGTAACAAATGGATGGTCCTCTTTCTTTTTGTTTGTGCACATGACCTTTTCAGATTTTCAGGTTCATCAATTTGGTACGTAAAACGCTGGCAGGGATGCAGATAGATGCAGATGCTAGACCACTCGAGCACAGCCGCTGACCTAGGCAGCCTACATAGGCTCATGTACCGCTCTGGCCCAGGCTGTCATTGACTTCAAGTGCCTCCGAATACATTCGCGTATGTGGTCGACTTATTATAAGTCCTACTCAATTTCGAGTTATGCGAGCTAAGTTATTTTACGAAGACCATATGAGCTCAATATAATTCTTGATGACCCTTGATGCCAACATGTCTGAGTTTCAAAGGAACAGCAGAGTTGCAGCAGAATCGACAGGCTGTAGCATGTGAGATACTCAGCACCTTCAGACTTATCATGATCAGCCTCAGAGTCAAGATTCTGTATATCTCAAGTTTTCAGCCAATTTTTCCCCATAGCACACGATGGCTCCAGGCGCAGTAGAAAGCGACGCTCTGCAAGCAAACAGGAGGGTTTTAAAACTCAGACATGTTGGCATCAAGGGACATCAAAGATCATATTGAGCTCATATGTCTTCGTAAAATAACTTGCCTCACATAACTCATAATTGAGTAGGACTTATAGATAAGTATACCCAAGCCTCAGTGTAGTCCCAACTTGTAGATGCTTCTCGGAAGTCGAGGTCGCAGGTGCAGGAATTAAAATTGTAAGTATGTACTCAAACCGATTCTCATCATTCATTGTCGATCGCATTCACTCTAGATCTCCTTAGAAGTTAGGTAAATATGTACCTCGAGGTACCTCGTTTCTTCGAACAGAAAATTCCAAGCGCTGCTTACTTTCGTCCTTGAACGATGTCAAGCAAAGAGGTGAATGATGGACAACTCTTCCGCTGGAAGGTCCAGTCACATACTAGTCGCCAGTCTTTATCAAGGACAGCGCCCTCTTTCAAATCAATTCGCCGCTCGGATTACCAACAATTAGGAAGGTGCATAAAGCTGAGGTACCGTTGAAAGCGGAACGAGGTTAGACGACGTGTACGGACGCGTTCTGGAACTTTAGCGATGGGGAAAGTGCGTTTCATGCCTCAGGGTACAGTCATCATTTTTGAGTGACACTTCGCATTGAACTCTTATTTTCTTCAGAAATATTCGATTTTCTCCGTGTCCGCTTAACCATTTTATTTCAGAACACCGTTGTATTCTAAATACTTAGATGCCAAAGATCATGCTAACTGCATATACGTGTTCTAATAAATATTTTAAACGTCCTTTTGTCAATTACCTACAGAAAATAGAGGGAACCACTAGCCAATCCTAGGCGTACGACATGCAAAACATACATAACCTAAGCAGCACTTGTCTTCGACTCGGAGCTTGGCTCCGCAGCTAGGAAGACACCCGGATGCACAAAATTGAGGGTATATATGGCCAAAACTATCATCGCTCCGTCCAGGACGTCTACCATTTTTGTTTTGTTAAAATAAATCTGGGAGTGGAACCAGGAAGAGTTGAAGCACGCACTGAAATAAACCTGGGTCCCAATAATTCGTCCAGTCCATCCATCGCTCAGCTCAATTGTACGATATACTGCCCTGTATAGAATTAACATGATGAGTAAGACACAATGGAGAAAATATTAACAAAGAAGACGTACCGAATGAACAAGCACGTCGTGTTAAACGCCAGAGCCAGACTCATCACCTTGATGTTACGGTCAAAGAATCCATGCGTGGTGTCCCCACTGTCCAATCTGACTGGGCGTCTCTTGAAATACCGGATAAAAAATTCCGTTGCACAAGCGGAGTAGACGGTAATGGTGACTGCGAGCCCGTCAGCGTACTGTGGGTGCGAGAAGTTGTTTGAAATAAGAACATACCGAGTTGGAATACGATACCCCCAAGCATGATGTTGCCACCCTGTTGCGAAATTAGACTGATAAAAATGAAGTAGGTAGAAAGTGCTGCATACCGTTCTGGGGTCTCTGCCGTTGGGTACCGCGGTGGCTGCCAAGCCGCCTCCGAGACCTTGTATAACCAAAGAGATAACATCCTGCCGAACATGAGGACACTTGAGGGAACTCGAGAACGCTTATAGTACTCACACATGTGCAAAAGACAATCGTGTCTAAAATTTTGTCAGTCAGAACAACAAACTGGGGACGACGAAATGTAAGGACTTACACCACTTCGGCGTAAGGCGGCTGTACGACGCACCAAGCCGTTGGATGATCATTCCGAAAATAACAAAGTTGGCAGCAAGGAGGGGAGTCGGGCCAATAATCGTCGCGCAAATTCTGCAAAACGAGGTAATCAATATCAGAAGCGCACGGGAAAAACTGAGAGAGAACCGTACTGCAGCTGGAACGGAGAATCTAGATACACAGAAAAGTGGGACCAAAGTCTGCCCGACCACCCAGCCACCTCAAGTGCTCCACAGAAGCAGGCGGTGAATATCAACCATTTCATGCGATAGCGGATTGATTGGAAGATGTGCACCACTGCCATGCGGAATTATTATAAAGTTAGAACCGCGTGGAGTCAGCGAGGGAGGCAGATGAGGACGTACAAGTGGAGATGGAGAATAATACGATGAAGAGGATCGCGACGTAGAGCGTTGGGACATATTGGTATGGCCCCGTGTCGTGATGTTGTGCTACTTTAGATGGCTGAGTGACTGTAGACGTATATAAGTTAGCATTTGAAATGTGACATGGAGCCAAGAAATTGTACCCGTTCCGTTGGTAGAAGACATGATTGGCGCAGAAGAAGTGAGTCTAGGTGACTCGGGGGTAAACTGATTCTGATCAAGTAGAAGCAACACTCGTCGAGTTAAAAACAGTTCAGTCTTTCCGCAGTTGAAGGAGATAGGTCCAGCTGAAGGCTTGGCGAGTGCACCGACCCTGGCAGTATGACCGCAGCTACAGCCTAAAGAAAAGGACACTTATGCAAATCAGTTAATCGTCGCACAGCATTGATCTGAGTCTGTGCTTTGTGTGTTCGGTAACGCGGTTAATGATAGACGCCCGTCGCACAATCTTGTAGGCGAAATATTAAACTTTAAAGGGTCGTGGTTGCAGCCTTTGTAGTAGCAATCCGCTTGAGACGCAGATACGACAAGGACGAAAAGATTCGAGAGCGGTGGCTCTAAATCGAATCCAAGGGTTCCGGTCGGAGCAAGACGATAGGTGTTCACCTTCCTGGCAGCGCAGTCTACGAGTGCTGAGCGGCGTAAAAACATAACGGCTGCGCAAAAACGCGTACCTTAACATCAAGCATGAGTCTATTTTCATCTTTCGGACATGGCCCCTAAATATTCGCAGTTCTCTCCGATGAACGGAAAACGAGATAATGGAAGTGATCAAAATTGGTTTTCACTCCGTCTACTGCGGGGGTCAATTTCGTCACGGTAGCGCTGGCAGTCTTGCAATTCAAGGTTATAGTTGTCGTGGGCCTCGTCTCTCGTCGGCTGATTGAAAGACTTGCTCGCCAATTTGAAATGGTCGGGAGGACGTCATCAACTCGAAGTGTGTCGGTGAACGGCAAGTTTCGGCAACCTGTGAATCCCATTCAGGTTGATCACTTGCTTGGAGGTGTGAAAGTTGTTTGGGGTTGTGCCAGTAGTGATCGTCAGACTTTAGAGTTCATCTACCGACTGCCAAGCCTCTTTGCACAGCAACGTCGATGGTGCGTCCACGACTGATGATACTTGGATGTTATCAAGGTTAGGTACTAGTAGTGTAGGGTCATGGTACTTTTATCTAACCATTGTACACATCTATCGTTAGAAATGAGGCTGTAATGAAAGAAGCCGCTGGAGACACGCGTCGAGTCATGCAAGATACGACTCGGCCATAGGTCATAAAAGGTTCCAGGGCTTGGCGAACGTGCACTTACAGTATGTTGCGAAAACACTGCCAATTACACTGCGCAGAAATGCGCACCTCAACTTTGATCGCTGATAGACATATTCTTTTCGCTGCTGTGTTTTGAATCTGATCAATCCGTAGTCCCTTTGATTGTAATTTCCTCGCTGCCTCAACGCTGACTGGGTACCGGGCTGGGGAAAGATAAACGGCATTCGAAACGAAAGGGCGATGCACACCGTATGTCGACGTGCGGGGATCGTACTTTTTTGTTATATTAGGCTCGCTTCGTACCAGTCCTCTCCGAGCATGGATGGCAGCGTCGTCGTCGAGCGCATGGCGCTGTTATCTATTGAAAAAGGTATTTCTCATGATCAACTTTGGCCCTCGTCAGTTCTCCAGTGATTCTAATGGCATGCCCTATCGCACTTAGGCTCAACGCAATGGCACTACCTTCATATGACGCCAACGTTGACCTATGAATACAAAAAGTTGCGAATCTACTGTTCGAAGAGTCGGAGAAGTTCTTTGTCTGAACCCAGCTTTCGCGCATGAGACGTGCATACCTGGTAACACCCGATATGAGTCAATGACAGGCGCGTGTACTGACCAATATACGAGCAAAGATCTTGAGAGTCCCTTCTAAAAAAATCATTCATGCAGCTGAGGTGAAGGGGGAAACAAATCCACCTGCGCGGAGGTCAAAACTCACCCCGGCGGGCCCACTTCATCGGTTTCTTCGCAGATTTTAAGTGGGTATCCGAAATCGGTGAGTCCACCTTTTGTGTTCACTACAATAATCGGTGAGTTCATTGAAACGTATACGTTTATAGAAATGTAGGCTCCAGTGCACGCGCCCTATCGCCCTAGTAGGCTCAATGCAAACTACACGTTTGTAACCTCATGGGACGCCAGCGTTGACCAATGAATGCAAAAAGTAAGGAAGGGGAAAACAAAGTTCTTTGCCTGGGGATCGAACGCAGCTTTCGCGCATGAGACGTGTATTCTTGGCAAAATTGGTATGACAGGCGCGTGTATTGACCAATATACGAACAAAGATCTTGAGAGTCCCTTCTAAGAAAAAATTACATATGCAGCTGAAGGGGGGGAAAAATCCACCTACCACTTCATCGTTTTCTTCGCGGATTTTAAGTGGATATCCGAAATCGGTGACTTCACCTTTTGAGTTCACTACAATAATCGGTGAGTTCATTGAAACGTATACGTGCATAAAAATGAGTTCTCCAGTGATTCTAATGGCACGGGCCCTATGGCACCTAGTAGGCTCAACGCAAGTTATACGTTTGTAACCTCATGGGACACCATCGTTGACCCATGAATAAAAAACTTTCATTATAGCGATCACAGTTCTTTGTCTGGGAATTGAACCCAGCTTTCGCGCATGAGAAGTGCATACCTTTTGAAAATCGGCATGACAGCCGCGTGTATTGACCAATATACGAACAAAGATCTTGAGAGTTCCTTCTAAAAAAATTATTTAGGCAGCTGAGGAACCGGCGGTGAAGGGGAAAAAATCCACCCGCGCGGAGGTCGAACTCACCCATCATTCTCTTCGTGAAACGTATAGGTGCATAAAGATGTAGGCGAACGGCCCTCGTCAGTTCTCCAGTGCACGCGCCCTATCGCACCTAGACTCAACGCCAACTACGCGTTGTGACCTCATGGGACGCCAGAGTTGACCTAAGAATATAAAACGTAAGGAAGAGCCCCAAAGTTCTTCGTCTGGGAATTGAACCCAGCTTTCGCGCATGAGATGTGCAAACCTGGTAACACCCATGACAGGCGCGTGTATTGGCCAATATACGAACAAAGATCTTGAAAGTCCCTTCTAGAAAAAAATATTTAGGCAGCTGAGGTACTGGTGAAGGGGGAAAAAATCCACCTACCAGCGCGGAGGTCAAACTCATCCGGGGCCCTCTTCATCGTTCTCTTCGCAGGCTTGGAATGGGCATCCGAAACAGTGATCTCCGTCATTCAGTGTTTTCACCCAATTCTTGATTGAATCTCCTCGGCATCGCAGGAGACCATTACGGGTGTGAAGCACGATTCATTAAAATTTTGAAGAAGGCTGTCATCAGGAAGGGTTACAGAGCTCGTAATCGAAGGCCGGAGTTCAAACTCACCTATTTCTTCGTAAAAAATGGATAGCCGAAACGGTGGTCTCCCTTCCCCTCAGCTGCAAGAAGTCTTGTAAAGTTGGTGAGGAACGGCCATTGAATGTTGAATATTGAGCGCTTGAGCCAGGATGAGAGTCCTTTACCGGTTCCTTTGGAAGACATCAGCCAGTAGACAGTGCGTTAGAGCCGTTTGACAGTGGAATGGAAGACGCGTCTGACATGTCCAGCGTCTTCCCAAACAGATCAGCTGATGCATCAATGCCTCCGAACCGTAACGTTCTTCCTGTCAATCGTTCATGACAAGACTATAACTAATCCAGTGAGCACTAACGCCCGCCATCCCCCGCCCTTCTTCAAGTTCTCCCACAGATACTGATACATGTCCACCACAGCAGCAGACGAAGGCCACCTGCGGTCAGGGAGCACTCTATCCGATACAGCCACACTAACGTCCAACACGCCCCAATCGTCGGCGTTTATCAAGCCTGGTGTGCTTCCCGTGAAAGAGGGCTCGATAACTAACGGTGGTCCTACCCCCGTCGTCATTCCGCCTGAACATGCTGCGCGGACGTTGGTGTTGTGTTTTGATGGGACGGGTGACCAGTGCGTTATGTTCTGTTCTGTTCTCTTATCGTTGTGAATGACGATGTTCTAGGTTCGATGCGGATGTATGCGCCTCCAACCTTCCGGGAACACCATGATAACTAGCTGAAGCCTTGTCCGTGTAGAACTCGAGCGTCATTGAATTCTTCAGCATGCTCGCAAAAGACGATCCAGACAGACAGATGGTGTACTACCAAGTAAAGCCCCTCTTCCCCCCATTTATTGAGCCTCCCTTCTAACCCCAGATGTATTTAGGCTGGTATAGGCACGTATACGCCTCCGCAGATCGCTACACCCCTGTTCGCAAAGTTCTCCAAGGTCAGCTTGTTTTGCGTATTATTACCAAATGGCACAGATTCTGACTTTTGCTTTTATTCAGACTCTGGATGAAGCTATCGCGTGGAACCTTGATGCTCACATCATGGGTAAGAAAACTCACATATGCGTGTTGTTCGTTCGGGTTTACCTGCTTATTCCAGGCGGATATGAGTTTCTCATGCAAAACTGTGCGTTGGGTCGTCCCGTTCTCTACTTACTTTCCGTACTGACCTCTCCCCATTCATTCAGATAAAGGCGGCGACAGAATCTGCATCTTCGGTACGTCCCTTACCACCCCTCTTCTCCCACCTCACCTCCTTCCTCCCTTTAGGCTTTTCTCGAGGCGCATATACCGCACGTTGGTCAGTCCCTCTCTCCTCCTTCCATCGTTAACCCACTTCATACCTACCGTCATTCTTACTTAGCCTTGCCGGGATGATCCACAAAATTGGGCTCCTGCCAGCATGCAACCACCAGCAAATCCCATTCGCGTACAAGATGTACACGCGCCCTGACGAATTGGGTTGGAAGCAGTCAAACGCATTCAAGAGGGCTTTCTCAATCGATGTTGATATTGAGTTCGTTGGGGTTTGGTATGTCCTTTCTTCCTTTCTTCCTTCCTCCTCCTCAACCCCCATTCTCAATCTAAATCTTTAGGGACACAGTCAATTCCGTGGGCCTAATCCCCCGCCGCCTCCCATTCACAACATCAAACACCATCGTCCGCACATTCCGACACGCCGTCTCCCTAGACGAGCGCCGCGCAAAATTCAAAGCGAACCTCTGGAACCGGCCCAATGACGATGAAAAGACACTGAGTGTGACTGATCAGCATGTTGAGTTGATTAAGCAGAAGGCTGGGCCGCATCCTAGTAAATCTAGGTTGCATGCGCTTGAGAGGCAGTATGGTGTTGAGAGGTTGAAGGCGACGGATATTGATGAGGTGCGTTTCTTCACTTGCATCACAGAGAGGAGGAGTGCTTAGATGTGTACATAGGTTTGGTTCGCTGGATGTCATTGTGGTTCGTATCCTTTCTTGCTTCTAATGCTCGTTTCTGATGATGATAATATGCATTCTTGCAGACGTGGGCGGCGGTTCTGGTACGTAACACACCCAGCTCACAGTTCAAAGCTCTCGTCAACTCATTTACCACCCTCATCAGTGGCAAACGGCGCCAAACCCGTATTAGCACGCATCCCCCTCCGTTGGATGATCCGCGAAACCTTCAAACGCGAAACAGGGATAATGTTCCACGCCGACGGACTCAAACTCATAGGCCTCTCCCCCTCCTCGCTCTACCCCCTCGTCTTACCACGCCCACTCGCCCTCCCCGTCCCCGCAACACTCTCCCTCCTGCCTATCCCCAAGACGCCGGAAGAACCCATATACGACGCCGCTGAAGCCTTTCCCACCGAGTCAGAGGAAGAACTCGACCTCCACGATGCCCTGGCGCCTATATACGATCAACTTAAGTTGAGTTGGTGGTGGTGGATTTTGGAGATTATTCCGCTTAAGCAGAGGAGGCAGCGGAGCGACGATGTTTGGGTTACGTGGTTTGCGTGGAATTGGGGGAGGGGAAGGGTTATTCCGGGGCAGGGGAAGAAGGGGGTTAGGGTTCATAGGAGTGTTAAGATGAGGATGGATGCACAAGGGGGGTATAGGCCCAAGGCGAATTTGGATTTGGGGAGGGTTACTTGGGTTGATTGATGTGTTGAGAGCGCCCTTCTTTTTTTTGTGGGGGAGGGAGTGTGTATGTTTTATCTTGACCAGCCGTGTGTAGGAGTACGCCCTTTTTTGTTGTTGTTTCGTTGTAATAGTATGACTTGACTTGAATCTATCTTGAGCTTGAAATTGTACCCCCCTTTTCGAATCCGTCTTGGCTTGATATTGGATGCGTAGCTGAGTGGAAGTTCGTATAATTTCAGTCGGGAGTATAGACCTGCGCCGAATGATGGATCGACGCATTCATGGAGGCTGTAGTGGGCCCCGAACCGCCGCTCCGTAGGACCTTAAGGTACCTGTAGAGATGTTTGGTGTTAGTGACGACTTGGATTCGGCAGTGAATGAAGAAGACCCATACGTCGCGATGTACTTGCTTCTATGCGGCTTCCGAATGGGATTGAGTTCACCTCCCATAAGCCACCACATAGGAGAGAATCGAAGTGGCGAAAGAGGCGGGTGGTTGAGAGGCGTTGTAGATAATCGGAAGGACGACCGTCAGGTCATCTGCTGTCTGCGACGATGGAAGACGACGAATCGGTGTTTCAGGTGGATGATATGAGGCGGCCGGAGTTGCTGTTTCCTCTTGCAAATACGTCCAGCTTCACGCATGCATACGGGGAGCAACAGAGAGGGTCGAGCTGGTGCAAAGATCTGGTCGTGAGCTTGTTATTCGACCATTTTTTCAAACTATAGATGTTTAGCGCATCTAACGACGCATGCCAGCAGCCCAGCGTACACAACTCTCCAGGTTTCGTGGAATCAGCTGGTGATGGAAAACTCGAAGATAGCCCGTTACAAGAAAGGAACTCATTCGCCCGAACCATCGGAAATGTGGACGACAAGAACGAGGAAGGCTCACTTTGGGCCCACTACTAAGAATCGGCAGAGGGCCTTCCGTCCATTCAGAGTTTCTCAACCTAAGGAAGCCTCATGTGTGAGTGAAATCCTGTTGTATTATAGCTGTAGTTGATCAACAGAAGAAGAGTCAAAAGGGATAGAGGGGTGACGCACTGAGCTATCCATCCCCATGTATAGAGCAACTGTTGACGTTGACCCGTCAAGGACGGGCACGGTGCGCAGCCCTACTATGGGTTTTGTACGCAGTCTGCTCGTCGCTCGGAGGCATGTTTAAAAACCGAGTCCTGAGAGATGGTTTCAATCTTTTTTATCTTGGTGCTGGGAACAAGCTGGGAAGGTGTGTGCCGGTTGACATTCGATTGGCGTCGAGAGGCGTGATGGGCGAGGTCAAGATGGTCAAACACGACCGTCTCACAACTTCTTTGATCTCAACCACCATCTACCCTTGCCAGATACGATACCGCTTCACGGGTTGGCCCGCCCTCTGGTCTTTCACACCTAGTCAAGCCACCTCGATATCCTCCGCGGTTTATGGAGTTCAGGGGGTAACTTACTTATTCTTTCGTCGTCTAACTCTCATAATCTTTTTATCATTCCACAGGATAGATCTGAGGTGTCTGTTTCAACGTCCCCATCTCGACAATAATTCCGCTGAGACGTTCGCTCCCTCTAACGCGATGACCCACCAGCGGTTTCTGCTGGGTTGCCAATGTCCAATCGCGTGCTGCAGGTCTCCCAACACCCTTCCTTCCATTTTGCCGCATTCTAATCGTTGTGCTGGACTGGCCAAAAAAATCCCACTGTCACCTTTCCGCTCAACGCTCTACAGGACCGTGTAACTCCAGCGTACAGTTCCCCTTTGATCGACAGACGGCGGCGAGGCAACGAGCAACAATTTGGATTGGCGATGCCTGAGTTGGCAGTGCAATGATGCACTATCGAACAGCTCCTGAACGCACAGTTGCCCGTCTATATACGGACAGCGGGCGAGGCGACGTGGAGCGCTTCGGATTGACGAGACTTGGGCTGGCGGTGGAACGGTGAACTGCCGGACACGCGCCCTCAGAGAACATCCGATCGAAGTCCAACTCCCGGAGGGTGTTCGACGTCTCCATAGAGCAGGGATTGCTGTCTTGTAGTTGGATCAAACGAGACGGCCCCAAGGTTGGGGAGCGGTGTGGTTTCTCAGTAACGAGGAGCACGACCCCTTCGAATTCTTCGCTATCGAAGTGGTGGCCTTGTTTCATAATTTCGACCCACAAAACTCACGACTACTTACTGCGCTCGGTCGCAGATCACGACCTTGCACAGCACAAGAAGTATCGCATATGGTGAACGAACGAGAAGCAAGCCAAACCACGCATGGCTGCTGTATTTTCCTCCTCTTCCGTTCGAATTCGGGTTGAGGGGGTTTGGAGCCAGGAGGGGGTGTCAATTTGGGTACACAGAGGATGGTATTCTACAAATCCGTGATTTGGGGTAGCAACTGGCCTTCTGTAGTAACATACGATTTCCTGACCCTAGAAAGCAGAGCAAGATGGACCTGTTGTATTGCTGAAGACCGTTGTGGTCACATGACATGTGACCACAACACCTCAACGCGTGGCAATTGGCGCTCTAACGATTCCTGTTATCAACCACCATCATCATGAACGCAAACGCGACTATCGGCACCAGCGACACCACCACCAACAACAATATGCATACTACTGGGTTGAATCCCGTGGGAAACGACCTTCTACAAGCGGTCAGTGGAGGCGGCCTTTCGGCGCTCGAGGCCGTCGCCGCATCTGGCGACGCCTTTCCACCTTTGAAGGCGGCTGTCGTTGAGGCGTTAGAAATCATCGGAATTGTTAAGGTGTGTATTCTTACTATAATCACTCTGCCACGTCTATCTATTCAATGGCCACAGAAATTTAAGATCAACAAGAAGGATTGGGCTGCTTTTTCTGTGAGTCTCATTCAGAAGGTTGGGGAGATTGTCCAGGCTGTGCGGCAATATAATGAAAGTCATGTTCCATCGGCTTTGCAATCCAATCTTGAGAATCTGAAAGGGTGTGTAGTTCTGATGGTGTCTTGTGGTTACCTCTTTGATAGAAATCATGCACTAGTGTTTTGGACAATTTGAAAGAAGATGTAATCAAGATCCAACAGCAGAACACATGGAAGCGACTTGCCAATTTCAAAAAGGATCAAGAATATATTGCAGGTTTGCAGGCTAAACTCAATGTGCTTGTGAGCATGTTTCACATAACTTAGTTGTTCTTTATCACCTAATTTATTTGATTATCAAGCCCAACTTTCAAGCCTGTCTTAGGGTTGAGGAAAGTTCACAAGAAGCAAGTACGTCAAGCCACAAATACCTAACTTGGTATTATTTCTTAATTTGTTCAGATGCCAAGAGGGGTGCTTGGGAACATCCCATAGTGACTGAGCATAACAAAGATAATATATCTATTGAGGGAAGAAATCTTGGTGAAGGGTCCACAACTACAGAAAATGGTATGCACAAACCTTATTTCTGATGCCATTTCTTGATAGCTTTTTTCAATTTTAAAGTACCTCAGATAAGTGTGCTTGAGCAGGCACATGATTTTCAAATCAATGATAGTGTTTTCAATTCTGCAAATATTGTGAGTGATAGGCTTTTAAAAATGCCCCTTCTTGAGACTATTGGTGTATTATAGATCAATATCAATGACAACAGGGGACTTGAAGCCAGGATAGAAGATGTAGTGGAGCAGTCAAATGTAAGTCATATAAATGGGTAAAATTGATTACTAGCTTATATCATCAATAAATAATTCAGGTAGAAAAGTGGCTGCAAGAGCTCAAAGCTCCATCACATGGCAGAGTAAGAGACAGGTGCATGCCTGGAACTCGGGAGGATGTGCTCACCCTTATCAAAACATGGCTTAGTGATCTTAATGGGCCTAATATTTTCTGGCTTTCTGGCAGTCCTGGCTCTGGGAAGACAACAATAGCTTCAACTGTGGTCGCTGATTTTGATTATTTCTCTGGGCAATTCTTTTTTCGTCGTGATGAGGCTGAGCTTCGGGATCCTGACAACTTATGGAGACGTATTGCTCTGGACCTTTCTCTTGGATCCAGTGATCTTGGAAAGTCTATAGCTAGGGCACTGGAGAACCAGAAAGCCAACATCAGAGGCCTTGATATCTCTATGCAATTTGAGCATCTTATTGTCAAGCCTTTACAGCAGGTTTTTTGGAGCTCTGTAAAGCCTCTTCTCATTGTTATTGATGCCCTTGATGAGTGTGATTCATATGAGAAACTCTTGCCTTCATTGGTATCTTGGTCTCACCTCTCTAAACCTTTGAAACTCCTTATTACAAGCCGCTATTATCACAAGATTCAGAGTAGCCTGAGATCTGTCAGTGTTCATCATAGTCTGCATACTGGGCATGGAGTGTCTACTGCAAGTTCTCATGACCTTGAAAAATATTTTCTTGCAAGATTTTTTGAGGTAACTGGGTTGCCTTCAAACTGGCCTGGTCCAGACAAAGTATCATTTCTTGTGAGAAAAGCTGCTGGGTTATTTATTTGGGCTAAATCTGCAATGGACTTTATCTTGTATGATGGAGGTGATCCTGAAGAGAGGCTAGATATCATTTCTACTGATTCTGGAGAAGGAATTGATGTTGTTGACAGCCTGTATCATCAGGTCATCTCTGTTGCTTTGAAAGGTCTCAGAGAACCAGAGAAAAATAATTTAAAAATAATTCTGGGTTCCATAATCATTGCAAAGAACCCACTTCGTATCAAGGATCTAACAGAGCTTCTGGGAGTGAAAGATAGATTTCTAAATTCGATAATTGGTCAACTTGCCCCAATTTTATCCATCAGTAGTACAAGCTATGTGCGTATTTGCCACCAGACAGTAGCAGATTTTCTCCTTAATTCTGAGCGCTCTCAAGACTTGTGGGTTGATCCTCAGTTTCATAGTCTCTGCTTTGCTGGGTCTTGCTTGAAGCTTATGAATGAAAAACTAAAGTTCAACTTCTTTCATCTAAAAACATCTCATATTTTAAACAAGGACATACCAGAGCTGAAAGACCACTTGGAAAGTGTAAAATCCACAGCTTTGGATCATGCAAGCTACTTCTGGGCCAGCTATTTGAATAAGACATGTGATAAAACATTAGAGCATAAAGTGCAGGCTGCAGTGGAGAAATTTTTGATGGTCCATTTTTTACACTGGCTAGAAATTATGAGTCTGATGAGAAGAGTAAATCATGCTGCTCAACTATTATTGTTGGCTGCACATTGGAGCAAGGTGAGTAAATAGATGTATACTTCAATACTGTACTAACATGAAAAAAATGTAGGTTTCAAAACCCAGCTTATCAGATTTTGCAAAAGATGCAAACAGATTTGTAATGGAATTTTTTGAACTAATAGCTTGTGCAGCACCACATATATATATATCAGCACTGCCATTTGCTCCAAAGAATTCAAGGATCTCTAGGCATTTTCTCAAGTTATTTGCAAAGACATTGACTGTGAAGATGGGTCAAATGGAAAATTGGTCAGAGAAATGTATTCTCAGACTGGCAGGCCACGATGATTATGTTACCTCAGTTGCATTTTCTCCTGATGGCATACACATTGTCTCTGGATCTGATGACAAGACAGTCAGAGTGTGGGATGCTCAGACAGGTCAGAGTGTCATGGATCCTCTCAAAGGCCATAGTAGTTTGGTTACTTCAGTTGCATTTTCTCCTGATGGGAGACACATTGTCTCTGGATCTAATGACGACACAGTCAGAGTGTGGGATGCTCAGACAGGTCAGAGTATCATGGATCCTCTCAAAGGCCATGATCATATTGTTACTTCAGTTGCATTTTCTCCTGATGGGAGACACATTGTCTCTGGATCTAATGACGAGACAGTCAGAGTGTGGGATGCTCAGACAGGTCAGAGTGTCATGGATCCTCTCAAAGGCCATGATCATGATGTTACTTCAGTTGCATTTTCTCCTGATGGAAGACACATTGTCTCTGGATCTAATGATGAGACAGTCAGAGTGTGGGATGCTCAGACAGGTCAGAGTGTCATGGATCCTCTCAAAGGCCATGATCATGATGTTACTTCAGTTGCATTTTCTCCTGATGGAAGACACATTGTCTCTGGATCTGCTGACAAGACAGTCAGAGTGTGGGATGCTCAGACAGGTCAGAGTGTCATGGATCCTCTCAAAGGACATGATCATTATGTTACTTCAGTTGCATTTTCTCCTGATGGAAGACACATTGTCTCTGGATCTAATGACAAGACAGTCAGAGTGTGGGATGCTCAGACAGGTCAGAGTGTCATGGATCCTCTCAAAGGCCATGATATTATGTTACTTCAGTTGCATTTTCTCCTGATGGAAGACACATTGTCTCTGGATCTTGTGACAAGACAGTCAGAGTGTGGGATGCTCAGACAGGTCAGAGTGTCATGGATCCTCTCAAAGGCCATGATACATTAGTGTTACTTCAGTTGCATTTTCTCCTGATGGAAGACACATTGTCTCTGGATCTTATGACAAGACAGTCAGAGTGTGGGATGCTCAGACAGGTCAGAGTGTCATGGATCCTCTCAAAGGCCATGATAATTATGGTTACTTCAGTTGCATTTTCTCCTGATGGAAGACACATTGTCTCTGGATCTTATGACAAGACAGTCAGAGTGTGGGATGCTCAGACAGGCCAGAGTGTCATGGATCCTCTCAAAGGCCATGATCATCATGTTACTTCAGTTGCATTTTCTCCTGATGGAAGACACATTGTCTCTGGATCTGCTGACAACACAGTCAGAGTGTGGGATGCTCAGACAGGTCAGAGTGTCATGGATCCTCTCAAAGGCCATGATCATTATGTTACTTCAGTTGCATTTTCTCCTGATGGAAGACAAATTGTCTCTGGATCTGCTGACAAGACAGTCAGAGTGTGGGATGCTCAGACAGGTCAGAGTGTCATGGATCCTTTCAAAGGCCATGATAATTGGGTTACTTCAGTTGCATTTTCTCCTGATGGAAGACACATTGTCTCTGGATCTTATGACAAGACAGTCAGAGTGTGGGATGCTCAGACAGGCCAGAGTGTCATGGATCCTCTCAAAGGCCATGATCATTATGTTACTTCAGTTGCATTTTCTCCTGATGGAAGACACATTGTCTCTGGATCTGCTGACAAGACAGTCAGAGTGTGGGATGCTCAGACAGGTCAGAGTGTCATGGATCCTCTCAAAGGCCATGATCGTTACGTTACTTCAGTTGCATTTTCTTCTGATGGAAGACACATTGTCTCTGGATCTGATGACAACACAGTCAGAGTGTGGGATGCTCAAATGGTTCAGAGTGTCATGGATCCTCTCAAAAGCCATGATCATGTATTGTGCATTTTCTCCTCATGGAAGACACATTGTCTCTGGATTGTTAAAAACATGTTACCGTCATAAGAATTGCTCATACTGCCAGATAATACCTATATCCTATGGGTGCCAGACAGAAATAAATCTGGTTTGTTCTGGCCAAGAACAACTACTGTGGTTGGCTGCACTCCAACTTCACTTCAGTTGGAAAATTTTGTTCATGGTGTAAACTGGAGCCAGTGTTCTTCATCATTACATGATCCCATTTAAGAAGGAATTGAACCTGTTGATTCCATTATCTGGTCAAATTAAAGTTCATAACTTCCCTGTTATTTCATGTATCAATGTGTTTCATTACCCTGCTGTCATTTACTACTACCTTGTATATCTTTTTATTCATGATTCAACATTTAATAAACCTTATTAGCATGTCCTTCCACAGTCATTTACAGGTCCTCAATACACACAGATAAAGAGAGGCCTCAGACAAATGAATTACAGCAGTAAAATCCAATATAAATATGCAGAACCATTGCTTCATACATACAGACATACAATCAAGACCAAAATTGATTATTTATGGAGAGAAGAGGGAGGATGGAGGTAATCTATTCAAAAGTCGCTTATCATTGGGAATTATGTTCTCAATACACCCATCACATCAGACATGATATCCCAAAATGGGAATTGTTCCTGTTTCCACATCTCAATTGCCTTGTCCTGGAGCTAAGATTTTACTTTGGCCTCAGAGCTTTGTAGAGTTTGGAACATGCATGTTTCATTGTGCAGGCCCAGGGATTGAGCTGTAGCTGCTGAAGAAATCCAGTCATGTCAAGGATGATGCTTTCCTGGCAATTTCCCATTTGGAAGGTGTGATGTGACCAATGGAATTCTGCTCAGATCATCTTACACCTCCTCAAATCCTCACATCTCCACATTGAAGCCTGATATCACTGGTAGGTAGCTTGAGTGTGTGCAGTAGGGTCCCTGCTTTAAAAATAGATGATAGTCTGAGTTGTTTTGAATGACATGTTTAATATTTTACAAATGTCCAAATCTCAACTGATTAGTGCTTGAAAGTCCAATCCAGTCCAGTTTTTTGGCCCAAAACGAAAAGACTGAGACCTAGACTGGTCCATATAATTCCTAAAACCTCAAAAGACCAGATCATGACCAGAAAAGACCAAGACTGCAGTCTTTTTCGGTCTTTGGAGCAGTCTTGGTCCAAACTGGTTGCAACTGGTTTAAAACCGGTTTTTCAACTAAATATGCAATGATATTTGCAATTGTGAGTTGGTAAGCTTATAGAGATTTTTTGTAGCTTCTGTACGAGTGCAAGAATGTTAAATTCCATTGAGAACTGATGTATCTACAAAAATACTAAGGTACATCTACTATTTTCATGAAATATTTCACTATTTTATATGTATCTTTGTCATTCTTTGGCCTAAAAATATAATCTTAGGTGTGTTTTGAAGGGTTATTATGTAGGTACAAAAAACCAGTCTTAACCGACAAGAACAGTCCATGTTAACCAGTCTTTTTGCAGTCTTGTAATCTCAAATTTGCAAGACCAAGACTGCGGGTCCAGTCTTTTGCAGTCTTGGTCCAGTCCAGTTGCAGTCTTTTTGCAGTCTTGGGACTGGACTTCCAGGAACTACAACTGATTATACTTCCTACATTGCTTCACACAAGGAATCATCTCAAAAAGTGAGGGCCACATAGAAATGAAGTGTATATACCAGTGGGAACAAACTCTGATACAATAGGAAGACTGGATGTGAAAATATTGGGGTTTGTATCAAGGACCTATAAAAGACTGTATGCCACATTTAAGCATTGTCATGGATTTAGTGGGATTCACCTGTGAATGGGTGTATTTAGGATTAATGTCAACTGAATGAATGTCGCTGACTCAGTTTTTTTTTAAAAAACCACATGTAGTTTGGATGTTTATAGCAGGCACTGGTGTAGATTGGAACACTCACTATGACTTCAAAATAGTGGGCCTGTGATCTAGTGGGTTCAATTCCCCAAGAACCGCATGAACATTTACAGTGACTAGGCAAAAGTCTTGCACCACACAAGTAATTCTATATCCTCTAAAGGGAATAGTTATTATATATATATGGTAATATACAGATATTCTATATACATCTTTGACATGAATATGAGATCTGGATCTCATGCCCTTCTCCATTTAGGAAAAAGTGAACAAACTGGGGTTTTGTGAGTTTTACAGATACTTCATGTGAGGGTCTGAAAAAATGTGAAGAATTAAGTACTTACTAACCCAAGTATACAGCACTTTGAATCATATCAATTGGATTAGTGGTTTTTGAGATATAGGTGTAAGAAAAGGGATTGTTTTGGTCAAATAGTTTATATTTCACCACTATTTGACCAAAACAAGCCCTTTTCTTACACCTATACAAGACATGCCTTGCTTCACTTCGGCAGCTTGAGCACAGACAATGGACAGGAGCCAAACATGTACACATGAAAGCCAGAGAACAACAAAAGAGCAGAGAGTGTGTAGGTGCCAAAAGAGTGATTATTTAGTGGCCATATGACATGAGGAGAGGCCAAGCATGTTGGTCTTAGGTGGAGGATTACAATAAAAGAGCAGAGAGAGCCTAGGCACCAAAGAGCTAGCCAAACATGCGCCCACGAAAGCCAGGCATTTCCTTAATATAAGAGTAATCTCAACAACCACTAATCCAATTGATATGATTCAAAGTGCTGTATACTTGGGTTAGTAAGTACTTAATTCTTCACATTTTTTCAGACCCTCACATGAAGTATCTGTAAAACTCACAAAACCCCAGTTTGTTCACTTTTTCCTAAATGGAGAAGGGCATGAGATCCAGATCTCATATTCATGTCAAAGATGTATATAGAATATCTGTATATTACTATATATATATAATAACTATTCCCTTTAGAGGATATAGAATTACTTGTGTGGTGCAAGACTTTTGCCTAGTCACTGTATGTGGACCTTTTTATACATTGCCATTTTTGCTGGGATGCTGTGATTTTGACGCAGCATAACAGCCTTGGTGGCCATACCACTGGCATTTGACTGGCATAGACAATGGGTAATAAGGATTCATATACGCTAGGCATCCACCCATCTGCGAATGGGTACATTGAAAATTCAAGTCGACTGAATCAACGTCGTCAAAAATGTGTACAGCGGGCACTGGTGTAGATTGGAAAACACCCACTTTCAAAACTTGATGAGATTTGAGGTTCAATTCCCCAAGAACTGCATGTCATCATTATCACCATTTTTTTCTTTTTGCCATGGTGGACTGGATGTGAACAACAGATACTTATTAACAATTCGGACTCACTGGAAAAAACACATCTAATTTTATTTATAATAAATATATAAACTGTCCCCTCAATCCCAGGTGTGTGTTGGCATACCTACAGAGTTCAAACATTCAATAGTTCCGAAGTTCAAAAAAACAGAGTTGCAAGTGATGGAAATAAGATGAATATGAATATGAAGCATGAAGAGGTCAGATATGTACATATTTGAATGGTATATATAAATATGTGTGTGTGGTGTGTGTAATAAGACAAGGTATCATGTTAGAAATGATGAGTCGAGTCGTAAAGGCTGTGGTAGAAGCATAAGCGGCAAGGAAGGAAAAAGGGAAGGGGATGAAGAATGGGCAGATGGATGGTATATATACATAAGACAAAAAAAAAAGAGTGGATGGGATGTGTTTGTCATGGTGGATGTATCCCAGAGTTTAGAGTTAGTTTGAATGTTGTGTATCATATGCTTGCTTGAGATCCTTGTTTGATGATGCTGGTGTGTTGCTTGATGCGGGTGGTTTGATGAAAGAAAGGATGGGGTAGGGGAGGGGAAAAGCAGGGTGGAGGAAGTGGAAGGCCCAATGTTATCATGATGATGCTGGTACGTGCTTGATGATGCAGTTGGTTGGTTGGTTGGTTGCTAAGAGAAAGAGCGAGGGTAGGAGAGGAGAGCAAGTGGGAAGGAGGGGAATGCAAGGCACACTAATACCCAACCATGCCCACCTTCCTCCTATACATCCTATGTCGCCTTGCAGGCACACCCGTAATCGTCGGCTGTGGCCCCTCCTCCTCCCACCTCACAACAGTAAACGTCGGACTAACATGCAAACTGCTGCTCGTCGTCATGCCCCCAACCCCCCTAGCTTCCCCGTCCCACTGGCACTGGCACTGGCACTCGGAGTACTAGGCACAGAACTCCCAACCTCATCTGCACTCCGTCCAAACACCTTTGGCTGCTGATTCTCAGGAGCATTCCGATTAGAATAAACCCCCAACCACACAGCAGTCACAATACACGGTATCAGCAGCACAGAAACAACACCAACCCATCTGTTCATCCTCCCATGTCCCATTCTGGGTTTTCTTCAACCATGAGGAGTCCTTCGCACCATGGGGTTTCGCCAACTCCTCCTCCTTGACGATCATGGAGAACTGGTGTTAGAAGTCGTCCCTTTTTTGCAGCGCTGGGGAGGAGTCATCCAAGTTCGAGCAGATGACAGGTTTGCTGGCGGTTGGTGTGGTTGTGAATGTTACCGCTGGACCTCCTCCCCCACCTTCTGATGGGGAGGAAGAGGGGGAAGAGGAGGGGAGAGTGAAGATGGGTTTGATAGGTGTCTTCGTGGTTGGAAGGGGTGTGGGGAGCTGTGGGAGGGGGAGTTGGAGAGTTGAAAGGGTTTGAAGTTGGAAAGTGGCCTAGCCCGGTCGGTTGGGAGGGATGGAGGTGGTTGGGTGAGGTTGAGTGCTGCTATTGGGGCTGCGTAGCATGGTCCGGGGGGAGTTGTTGCCTAGGAAGTGATTGGGGAGGATGGGGCTATTGTTTTTGTTGCCACTGAGGAGGCCACTGCTGTTGCTGCTAAAGAGGCCATCATTGCTGAGCCTGCTGTTGCTGCCCCTGCTGTCGAGTAGGAGATGGCTGACGACGCGCAGGAGAGGAGGACTGTGTGGCCGCTGCCAAAGCTGCGTGCCTGGACAGAGAGGTTCCAGCAGCGGCAGCTACCCTCTTTCGTCTCTGCTCAGCTTGGTCCTGAGAATTGTCATCAGAATCAGAGTCAGCTGCCAAGTTCAGCAGACCCATGCCTAGGTTGCTGATGCCCAAGTTTCTGTTTGCCTGAGACTCAGACTGGGAGGGATTTGTTGGAAACCTATAGAGACCCATCGATCATCTCTGAGTTGAAAAGACCCTTGAAGTCATGATGAGAGTAAGGCAAGTGAAAATGAATGCATAGCTCTTTCAAGATTGACATTGCACTATGTTGGTTGGGTTTTGCTCTTGGTAAGGCATAACTTCTGGAACATCTTGATGATTGAGATGGTAGTGAAAGCAAAGGATGAGGACTTGAGTGGAGCAGTGTCTGCTTGTTTGGCTATTTGCTCTCTCCACTCACCTCGATTGAGCGTTCATTCTGGCATGGGTGCTGCAAAGCCGTCCTAACACCATGAACCATGACATATTTTTACATAAAGTCAATCCCCCCAGGATCCTCTGGGATGAAAGTCGGAGCTTGGGTTATTGTGGTTTCATGGACACTGTTGAAGACAGTGAGTGAATCATTAGACAGCTTTTCCTGCAGCATGTATGTTGACTCCCACTATGAAAGGCATCCTAGATTCACCATTTGCGGTCTACTACAGCAGTGGCAGGAACCAATTCTTGTCAATCTGCTTTGCATCAACTTTCGGTCTACGACATGTACCTGATAATGCATGTCGCATCACCTTTCGCATTGTTCTGCAAAAATGCGAACTACATACTGGAAGTTTGTGAGCTGGACGAATGAGATAGCATCATGAGGAGCATCATCTGGCATACTTGGTTTGAGAACGTCTTATTCCGCTCTTGAGTAGTCCACCCTCATCAGATGCCGTTGCTCACTCCAATGTAAACCTCAAGAACAAGGAACTCAACAGAATGAAATGTGGCAGAACTACTCTCAACATTTTCACTGGCTGGGTCCCTCACTGGGATATGCCTCCATGTCCCCCAAGTACTTCAGCGACCCAATGAGCGACAGGGTCTCCTCGTGTAGTCCACTTTTCCCAGAGTTGAACACACTCAAACAGATGATGGTACAAGAGGTCGACTCTGCCTCACTGGGATAGACCTTCATGCCCTCCGAGTTCATCAACCCAATCAACGATGGTCTCCTTGCTCAACGTCCACTTTTCCTGGACTTGAATGGATGAGGGTGCATGAGGTCGACACTCGCTCTGGCTTTACCACACCACATGTTCACGTCCAAAAGGGAAGTTTAGAGTGATGGGGTTGGGGAGATAGGGTTGAGGATGATGTTGCAGACATGCCCCTGGAAGCAACAGCATGGAAGCCTCCCTGCTGGAAGAAACACTTGTCTGTATGTCTTCCTACCTCTTTTTGACATCTCACTTATTGTTCTGCAAAGATGGCTGTGCGTATTCCTCTTGTATGACTGAGGAGTTCACGACAAACATTCAGACGGTCAGGATCCACGGCATATCTGTGCGGAACTTGATGACTACAGCTCTCATTGTCATCACAAGCACTAGCGTGCGCAACCGCCCATCTAAATTGGAGTGCCCAATGGCAGGAGAACACCAGCCAAGTTGTATGGACTTTCCTCTTCGTCTTCCAGGAGATGTTGCCAAGAAACATGTTCTCGAGATGATGTGTACACCCCTGCACGTTGACAGTATGCCCAGGAGTGATGATCTGGTGGCATTGTGGCAGCAGCCTTCCAATCCATGGGGATATCCCGTATGAGGGGTCTTAATGTCTGGACGCAACTTACGATGAGTAGACAGTCATGACTCAATCGTATGTCTGGCTTGTTTTCCCCTCGTTTTTGGTATACCACTTACGGTTTTTCAAAGACAGTAGTTACTCATATATGAAAGAATTCAAAAAGCGGTCAGAATGCATCACAAAGTCATATCCCTGCAGAATGTTTACAACCACAACATAAAACTCCATCATCATCCCAAGTACAACTGCCCATTTGAGTTGGAGCACCCACCCACTGTCAGAAAAACACCAGTCAGCCGGTACAGCCTCTTCTGTGGCCCTTCCGCTGGATGTACCGAGGAACCTGGCCTCAAGGTGGTTTCCACTCCCCTGTGAAAAAGCAACTCAAATCCTGGAAGCAAGCAAAATATGGCCCATTGCCGTTCGCTTTTATGAACTTTGCACTTGTGATTCACTTTGCTTCAAAAGGTTTCTTCGATGACGTTGCATTGACAATGACCCAAGCCTGAGCTAAGTATATTGGCCAAAGAAATTGTTTGGCAACGAGAATCGAGATAGCTTGGGCCCTGTATGTTTGTCTTCCGCTCAGCCCTTGAGGTCTGGGTGCAGGTCTGCGCTGATACTTACTCGAAGGGAAATCATGGAGATTCGAAGGTTACGTGTCCAGGGTATGATTCAAGTTATCTTGCATACCACACCTATTTGACGAACCCTACAGATGGACATCCTAGGATATTTGACTGGCATCTTCATTTGTCGGTGTGGGAGCTGGTCCAACCCCCGTTCAAGCTGGTGCTTCTTGAGGAAGCCGTGAAACATCCAATCCACGAGATGCCTCATCACTAAAGTGCTGACATGGACAGCTTACTATGCAAAGCCTTTGCAGTACAGACCTATCTAATTATGTATAACATGTCATATTGAGTATGACTTATGCACTACATATGAAACTGCATGCAATTCTGCTTCAGTATCAATCAGACATGTGCAACAGATGTTCTAATGAATGAGAAGAAGAAAAGATGGATTTGGACTGAGCTTGATGTCCGGGTTCCATCCCAGATGTGTGGCTGGGTCAAAGTTAGCCTTTTCAGTCATAAAATTTAGGATCAATACATGTAGTATAGCTGGTTTAAAGGGGTTAAGTATAGATGTTAAACATACCTGATGCCACATGCCAGCAGCCCATCGTACACAACTATCCAGCACAGTAACGATTGCGTGTAATCAGCTGCCAATTGAAGTTAACCCATTACCAGAAAGGAACCCATTTGTTTGAACCATCGAAAATGCGGACCTCAAGAACGGGCACTACTAAAAATCGGCACAGGGCAAGCAGGTATCTTCCATCCATTCAAACTTTCGCAAACTAAGAAAGCCTCAAGTGTAAGTGAAAAATTGTTGTAGTTTATAGCTGCAGTTGATTAGCAGAAGAAGAGTCACCAGAAGGGTCAAGGGATAGAGAGGTGGCATACTAACTATCCAGCCCCATGTATACAGCAGTACTGTAGCGATACCCAGCTGCTGACTCATCATGGACAGGCACAGTGTGCAGCCCCCACCACAAAAATGTGTGTGCCTTCGGCTTGAAGGGCCCCAATGGTTGCACAGTGCCCAGCCCTAACTTCTTCCACAGGAACCCCTTCGCACCTCTGACTCTGTTCGGCCTGTCCATCGTAGACTCGTAGCTGCTGCTCCAGGGCTAAATAGGATAACCAAGATACATCATGCCACTGGCGAGGTTGTTGTTGTTCCATTGTCCAAGCGAGGGAGTTGGGTTATAATATCTGACAGTTGTGGCTTTCGGGTAGTTGGGAGTTATAGAGATAACGGATTGCAGGAGAGGATTGCATTTAAAAGAAGGTTCAGCTATATGAATTGTTTAGCTGTTATGATGATGAGTAATAAGGGGCATAAACTTACTGGAACTCCATATCCTCTGTTCAACCTATATTCTGGCCAGTTCACTGGTGGTGCTACGCGAGCTGAAGACGCTTTGGGCCTTCAAGCTTCAGGCAACGAGCCTCAACATTGAATGGCCAGGCAATACGGGAGAGCACAAGGGGAGCAAGGGGCAAAGGTCTGTGTGACGGTTGTGTGTTCCGTTTGGTTGACCCAAGGTTGGTATCGAAGGAGGGCAAGGTTGACGTTGGGCCCAAGGTTGGGTCGATGGAAGATTAAAGAGCATAATGGTCAAGTCACATCAAAATAAGAGTGATCACATCCATTGGGACCTGCTCCGGAATATACCTCTACCTCTACCTCTACCTCGCATCTCTTCTCAGACTTTTCTCATTTGAAACATTCACCAAACTCAGAAGCCTCACTTGCAGATTCTGCCGATGTAGTTTGCAATGATGATGATTCACCCCAAGTTTTGCTGCATGCCCCCTTTGTCTGCTGCTTTGATTGGTCAGGCCCAGGAGTCATGTCTACCAATGAATTTGCTTTTGACCTTCTCATAGGCCCTCAGATCTTTGAGACCATGCCCAGAACTCACCTCACCCATCACTGCAATCATGCCACCTATGTACAAAACCTCTACCGCCTGTCAGCGACCTTCCTGTTACAAGCCCTGGATTAGAAGTAAGCTTTGGGCATTTATTTATTCCAGTATAATTCTAACATCTTCCGATTAGACATTACGGCGTACGTACATACATATGTACATTGCCAATTGGTCCCTCGGTCTCTTCAGAGCTTCAGCTGATGCACTCCTCAGTTCAAACAGATTCATTTCATTCTGAAATACCATTATGGAAGAAATCCCAACTCAAAGAGGGTTCACCTTTGCTGGATTGTCTTTGAGAGGAAGAAAAAACCAAGATCCTGCTCACTCCTTTCCCCTCAATGTCTTGATCTGTGAGCACGTGCAAAACCGTCTTGCAAAGTTCCACATTCACAGTGGAGAAAGCAATGTTTAGACATATGATGCTTGAGGATGTAGTGAACAGGTGAACGTGAATGTGTTAGATGTCGTCAATTAACAAGAACAGGTGGGGCAGGGCGCAAAATATGAATGGGGGTTTCGTAAAGTCCTGGGTTGGGATATGGACCGACCTCAATTAGCGAAACTACCAATTTCATTGCCAATTGGCAATGTCACCCTGGTAGAGGTGTGATCCAGCAAGGCAGGGGATCACCGTATCTCAGTACCGCTTGAATGGCAAGGAGGGTACACGCATATGATGCACAATTCCTTTCTCATTGATGTTCCATGCAGTGAATGTAAAATCAAAGGGGTTATAGTTTTGCAATCTGGACTCAGCGATTTCAGTCATCATGACATGAGGCCATCTTGATTGGGCAGTGGGGGATGTGAGGGTTTCATCACACGGTGTGAAGGATCTTGGGGTGACAAAGAAGCTTCTGTAGAATTGAGTGGGAGTTCAGCCCGAAAGATATTTTAGACAATAGTGGGAAAAAAACATGGATTGAGCACTTCATGTTACTTATATATATCTGAGGTGATAGAACGGTGCACAGCATCTCAGTACCTCTGCTCTTTCTTGTTATCAACCACCATCATCATGAACGTAAATGTTACTACAAGCACCAACAATATCATGGGATTGGATCCTAGAGCCCTGCAAGTGGTCGAGGGAGGTGGTCTTCACACCCTTGAAATTGTGGCTGAGTCTGCGGATGTTTCACCACTGCTGAAGGCAGCTGTTGTTGAGACCTTGGCCCTCATCAGCATTGTTAAGGTATGTAGCCTTATTCCAACCAATTTACCACATTTCTAACAACCGAACCTAGGAATTCAATTTCAGTCAGAAATCTTGGGCAGAGTTCACCCAAAGTCTCATCGAGAAAGTCAAGAAGATCATCCAGTATACTTACCATTACAGCAAGGATCACCTGTTCACTTTGCATTATAGTCTTGAGCTTTTCAAAGAGTGTGTGTTTGTGACTATTGTCCTGGATGCCCATCAATTGTAATCTACCAGAACTGTGGGCCATATCAAAGAAAGTGTCTCAAAAATTCAACAATCACTGTGAAGGCAGCTTTGGTTGTAAATCAACAAACATTAGGTTGATTTTCCCCTTTCGACCTAAGGATGGATAAAATTTAGGTTGATTTTTTTCAACCTGAATTTCAGGTTGATCACCAACCAGCAAAATCAACCTCGGATTGGTTGATTTTTGTCTGCAGGATCTCTAAGTATGTCACCATGAATTTCAACCTAGGCCTGGTTGAAACTTCTCCAGAGGACAATTGGCAGTACTTCATCATGCCCCACTGATTCCTGCAGGAATGGCGTAAAA